AGTATTTTGCGGTGAAAAGTAGCTGCCTGCTCTGCCAGATGCCTGCTCTCATTGGCTGGATGTGGATCTCCAGATATTTGGCATGCTAGATATCTGGCAGACGTCAGACAACAAGAGCAAATTTGAGGGTGTTCCCATGAAACTGGAGTGCTGAACAGTTTTATTTGTCACATGGCCTAAAGTCAAGCCCAGACAAAGAAGGTAGGAGGTGAGGGTACATCCCCATTACAGGGATAATGACAGCAGTCTCAGCTTCTGCTCGTAATTAAACAGCTAGAACAACCTGATAAACATCAACTCACATCTGTATCTGTAAATGTTACTGGCGATATACAAATCAGAGTTCCTGGGTTTTATTACCGAGAGGATCCTGACAATGCTACAACACGACATACCCCATTCCAGACTGTGCTGCGACACACAGCCTACTTCCTTCTCAGTCCTTCTGTTTGTGTAAACGTAATGGAAGCCACAGCTGCCATTGTAATAAAGACACCACACATAGGAAGGAATGCGTATCTTAAAGAATCCTTTCTCAGTGACAAAAATCTGCCAGAGCAGGGACAATTTGAGATGATTCAAACACAGATTTTTGGTAATAATGTGGCTCACGCTATAAATGTTTAATATGCATTGTCTTGAGTCATGGTAATGTATGAAACACAATCTGTATTGGAAACAAACAAAATGATGTCAGTCCAACAGGCAGATTTTGCACATTTTGAGAAAAACTGCAATGAGAGGTAAAAACAAAAACCAAAAACAGATGTCCTGACTAGTTATAATGGTTGGGTTTTGCAGTGTGGGAGGCATCTTGTGTTCTTCAAAATTACAATTTCCATCCTCTGTGTCTGACACAACATGTACAGTAGACCTACCTGGCATCCATATCCTAAATTAAGATGATTGCAGTGAATCCTGTGTGAGTATAAAACTTTTACACAGTGGAACTCTGACTTGGCAGTGCATTCCTTTGTTGTTATGTGGCTGCTCTCTTGCAGCTTTACACAGTCTTCAAACAAACAATATGACCTTTACTCCAGATGTAGTGCAAGAGAGGGAAGGTTTGGGTGTTCTATATGCAGCTCGGGCAAGACTGGCTACATATCTGTGCACTAAAACCCCAGAGGCAACCTCTTAGATGCAAAATTGCTTTTAGATGTTTAACTATTCACTGATATAACTGCATTCATCTATGCATTTGTGTCAGCAAGTAAAATACGAATCTTAAAATTAGGGCTTGGACATCCCAGCATTTACAACTACCCCATGATCAGTAAATGCTTGCAGAGGTTAAATACATTCACCAGATGCTTTTGTGCAGAATTCAACTTAAGGGAACTTCAACATGAGAACATGAGTTGACCAACTACAAGTCATCTCGTCAGCGCTGACCTTTAAAGGAACTGAAAACCAAAGAGTCCAAAAGGCAGGAAGCTACCATATTATCCAGTTTTGTAAAACCTTGCTCTGCCATGATATAAAACTGCTCTACAAAAGAGATTGAGCAGTTTTCAGGCAGTCATAATAGTTTTCCTTGAATTGACTCAAACTGTTGGAGATGAAATGAAAAAGGCCCTTTTAACCTATTAAGGTAACCCCCCGTTTGAGTATGCACCTATTTAACGTCTGCAAAATAAAATCCATCACAAATCATGTTTTCTTCCTTTCAAACTAAATACCATGTGCTTATGTACGCTTCAACCAACAATTTCAACCAATAATATCATGACATCCACCCAATCACAAGCTAAGCACAGAGCTAAGATTTACTAATTAGCAAGCTAGCAAAACCATGACGTGTCGTTTTGTCGTCAGGTGTTCGCCACCTAAAACCCTTTTCTGTTTCCCCCAGAGTGATTCTGGGCCTAAATGATTACCGTACACAACGTTATAACTTTATTTACTGGTTTGGGTGAAACTGGATCATATTTTATGGGGAAAGGGTTTCTGTTTTTTCCTCTGATGTCCTCCAGCCGCTCTGCTTCAACAGTGATTTGTGGAGTTTCCTGATGGACAAAAAGCTTTAAAGTAGAAGTTTAGCTGACTGCCCGGACAGGAAGAGGTTTTCGGGCCCGGGGCGAGCGTGACCCAGCAAGAATGCTGACGGGAAACAGCACCAATGGGCACAAGAACCGGAGCTGGGCGAGTGGGCAACACAACCAAGCTCAGCAGCCTCCCAGTGAACAAAGCCGGACTGGGACCGAACACAGCCTCAGAGACAGATGGAGGGCAGTTTGAAGTCAGGGAATACAGTGCCAAGTTTCTGTAGGGAGTTTCCTGATGAACAAATAGCTTTACTGCTGCTATCAATCCAGCTGCTCTACACAGGCTGTGACCCCCCCCCCCAAAAAAAACGTTAGTGGTGTAACAAGACATTTCAAGCAAATACTTTTCAGAAGTATAAAAGTATGGAAACCTTCTGGTCTCCACAAGAGGCTGGTCTTTCACAGATTCCTAACTCTGAACAGTCTTTGCCATACATCCAACATCACACACATCAAGAACTGACTGACCTCTCTCTTAAAAAAACCCAAACATTCTTCACAGTATGGGCTATGTAACCTTTTTTAGCCCATGATATAACTGGGCACGTCTGAATGAGGCCATTGTATGTGGCAGAGAGGGAACTGAAAGAGGTGGAAACAGATCTTGGCGAGGGCCAATCCCGCTGCCAGCCAGCTTCAACTTCTCCCAGCCTTCCTCCACGTTGCAGAGGAAACACTCCACTTATCCATTTGGTAATGAAATTGTTCCGCAACCAAGATCTGTGGCTCTAGTGGAAATCCAGATACAGGGTGGGAGAGTAGGAGGTGATGGGAGGGAGGGAGGACATGCCGTGAAGACTCAATCAAAAGAATCAAAAACAGACGCAGAAGTCCCTTGATTAAGATGTGAATGGCTTAAACGGCCTTTCTCCATTCATGCGCTGTGATATTTGCATCTGATTATCATTACGCCTTAAAGCACTGGCAGCACATGACAGAATGGGTTTGATTATAAAGAGATCAAGTGAGATTGAGTGAACATTACAAGAGCAGAACTAGCCCGGGACAAGCTAGCCTGCTGTACTGTATAAACTATGAGATCAACTAATGTTAGGCCATACTGCTAAACAACCTTAGACATCTCATGTACTTCATTTGCCATTCAAAACATATTTCTAATGTCAAAAATATGTTATAAATCAATGCAGTCTATGCACAAATGTTCACGTTTAAGGAAAAAATATTGCATGGCTTATGGAAATTTTGTTTTGGATCCTATGAAACTTTTTGAATATTTTTTTAAATATTTTATTTTAGAATTTTTGTTTTGCTGGGGTTTCTCTAGTATCCTTATATGTAGGTCTATGTTTCTAAGTCCTGAGACAGATCTTAGCAGTACATTCTCATTTCGTTCAACAAAAGAACTGGGGAAGTAGTTATTGGGGTACAGTTGCACTGCTGATAAAGAAGAATTTCTGCTCACCTGCTTTCAGGCTGCTGTTGAAGTAGAGGATGACCATGACGAAACATCCCAGACACAACGCAAAAACCATCCGAATGACTTTGGGTTTCCTCATCATGAGTGTATAGAAACGAAGCCGAACCGAATCCTGCCAGGGTTCATGCGAAAAACAAGCTTTTTGTTCTGATGCCTTTGTCTACTTTATCACCGATAACTGCATCGATCCGTCTCGCTGACCTTTGCCGCTCCTTGTCTTCCTGTACATCCTTGGATGCCCACTCTGGAAGAAGCAGCGGTGAAGAAGGAAAAGACAGAAACAAGCGAGCCGGTCTGCCGTGGGCTATCTTACAGTTAACGTTCCCTGAACATTACCGTGCGCTGGTTCAGGGGACCAGTCCGCGCCACTGTCGTGTAGTCCGAGCAGAGGCCGCCGGTTTGTTTGTCTAAGCGGGGGATAAATGCCCGAACAGCACAGTTCCAAACGTCTGCTTGACTCGTTAACCCCTTTCTCCCCAAACACAAGGTTTGTCGAGCCTTTACAAATTACGGTCGAGCTGTAGCCTATGCCTTTTAACGAGAGAGTTCCGGTTGCACCTTTCAAAATAAAACACCTACAGGTGACAGAAACCTCTGTCAGTCCAAATGAATAAGAAGGAAATTGTAAATCTCAACTAATAATGTATTCTTATGTAAAATAAAACCAACATTATCTGCCACCAGAACACCCAAAAAGACGACTATGACATGATTGGTGACCAATATCTATTTTCATTTATATTGCACTCACCACTCAGATTTATTTTGAGATGACAGAATACATACATCATTCACAGAGAGATGTGGTGGTGGGCTTCATATGAGAGTCATAAGAATTTGTGAACAAAACATCTTAAGAACCAAAGTAACCCGCTATTTATTAAATAAAAGGCTCCAAAGCCCAAAGAAAGTTGAAGATGTGAATTTGTGGAACTGCTGGAAAGATGAATTGAAAATGTGTAGCAGACTGCAAGTTTAAAAAACTAATTTAATGAACAAATTAAAAAATATAGATCAGACATGTTGGCATTTCTATATTATGGGTTTTTATGTCAAATAGGTTGTGTATTGTAAAAATTGTAGGATTAGAAAGCTGGACTGTCAGCTGTCAGCCTACACTTTTGTCAAAAGTGTTCATGCTATGTTGTTGCTGTTATTTTATCTTTTATTCCAAATTGTTTGTGTAATGACAGTATTCATTGACCAAAATAATTTAACTTTAAAAAAAAAAAATCAATTCAGCTGAGGTGACATGGCCACATTTGCCTTCTATCTGCTTCGTGGTGACACGCTACATAAATATCAATAGCACCTTTATTATCCACCCACCCCCTTCTTTGAAGTAAAAAATAAAATAGACACAGAGGCAATGGACACTGGCGCACATTAGCACAGGCTAATGTGTAAGAGGGTTGGAACAAGTTTGTCTTGTTAACAATTGAATAAATTGGGCCTCCACACGCAGTGTGAAATAAAGCAATGTTGTGCTTTTATTTTGAAGACGAAATGAACAGATATCCGGTTTTATCCCGTTTCTCTCTGCTTGTGCGGAGTTGCACGGCGGTTGGGGGTTCTTCTTATTCGTGCTAAAAACTTTACCGTTGGGAAACAATCGGAAAATAACGTTTTAATTCTCCGATTCACAGCTGCAGGCGCTCCCTCTCCATAGTAGCTTTCTAGGCCTCCCTGTCTCAAACAAATGGACACACACTAAAGGAAGCGTCTTGGCAAACATGGGTAACGTTACCCAGAATAAACCCAGCGAGGACACAATGGGAGATCGTAGTTTGCTCCATGAACTCCTGATGAGGCTGATCGAGGTCTGAATTCAGTTAACATTCACGGTGTTTGTCCAATATGTGACAAACTGATGGATTGGTCTGTAATGAGACATCTGCTGTTGGTTCCTCCTCTCATCTTTTCAACATTGCTTCATTAGTCACTGTTAATCAATGTCAAAGATGAATCACTATTTCTCCTTTTTTTTTTCGTAGGTCGCAGGGGCCCGTGGCAGAGGCTGGTGCGACACCAGTGTGTGATAGTGAACAAAGTGCAGCCAACTCGCGCTGTGAGCGGCGGAGTGGCAGCCAGATTGTGACAGAGTAGAAACAGATTTATGGTGAGAGTTCTGTCTGATCACAAGTGTTTTCAGTTAGTGAATTTTCGGGTTTTTTTCACCTGCTGGTCTCATCCAGCTCTGTTTCCGTCAGATGGTCTGTCTGTATCAGCCGAACAGTAACACAGGCTAATGCACTGAGTAGCTATAGGGCAGGCAAAAATACTATGAATTCTAATTTAATGACCTTAGTCTCTTAATAAACGACTTTTTTTTTTTTTCACTAACACTGATGTGGGAGAGATTCTGAATGTGCAGAAAGTTTTGATCAGGAGCAGAAAACCTGCTGAAACACAGGAGCAATTAAGGGGTTTGTAACAAAAAGTATAACAACAATTATTAAAATGAATAAATCTATCATTGAGGTTAAAAACCTGCCAGGTCTGCACATTTACAGAAGTAACCTCCTCAAACAATAGACATAAAAGAGGAGGGAAGGCTAAATAATGTGTGCTGACCCAGCAGAGATTTTATTGAATAAGAAACATTGATCTACAGGAGAAAACATATTTAAAGGCAATAGTATATTCTATTATTGTTTTATATGTTGAAGTTTCACCTGTGGCATGAATTTTATATTCCCCTTTATGTAAATAAAGACATTTCCACAATAAATTGATGCAGAAAATTTCACCAGAATGCAGTAAATTAAGTGTTTAATGCTCAAACTTTCAAGGGGGAGGTCCCCCAGACCCCCCATTTAATGACCGTCCCCTCCAATGCTTTTGCATTTCTGCAAAAAATTTACCCCATGAATTAACTATAATGAAGGAAAACAATCTCTGTTTGATACATAGTTTCTGAGGGGAACATTCCCAAATACCTGGTTAGGTTTTAATCTCCCAATTTAGGCTGTGATGTCTGGAGGATGGCATATGCTGATTACACTTATTGATTATTGACTTGGCTGTTTATATGTTAGGCTGCAGGACTTTCTATACACTGCGGTGGGTTATGTTACTGATGGTTTAGGTTTGGGCAGGTGGGATGAGGGGACACCAAGATAAATTCGTGCCTAGTGAACTGTTTCACTGCAGTGGTCTGTTACAGGTCGCTCTCGGCCCTGAGTACTGCACAAACTAAGTGACTGAACTTATTCTAATGGGAGATTTGAACTGGGACTGGCTCCCATCAGACACTTTTAAGGACTTATATGACTCTCTGAATCTTACACAACTGATAAATGCACCAACAAGACTAAATCCCTGTACTCCTGGTATGTCAACGTCCTGATTTTAATAAAAACTCCCCATAAAAATAATTTTGTAATGATGTCAGTGATCACTGTGTAATTGCTTGTGTGAGAAATGCAAAACTGCCAAAAATTAAACCTCATTTTATTCACAAGAGGGTTTTTAAGCATTTTGAAGTACAAGCCTTTCTGCGTGATATGTATCAAGTAATGAGCAAACCACATTAATTCCTGAGATTGTCCTTTCCTTTGAGCATTTTAAAATGTTTTTTATATCTATCTGTGATAAACATGCCCCGGTGAATAAATTAAGGACTACAGGAACAGATAATCCATGGTTCTCCGAAGATTTGGCAGAGTTAATCAGACTGAGAGATGTTCCCTGGGCCAAAGCAAGACATTCAGACATACCTGCTGATTGGATTTCTTTTAGAACTTTGAGAAATAAATGCACCGAAATGATCAGGAAATAAAAATCAGAATTCTATTCAAAGAGCATCACGAAAACCTTAATAATACTTCCAAATTCTGGAAATTCATAAAATCCACATCAAGCTCAAATGACCCCTCAGGACTCCCTGACCATTTAATCATCGACCCACCAGTTAACTGTCAGCAACTAACATACATAATTTCACATAATAAAAAAATAGCTAACGTTAGCGGCACATTAACTTTGGTTCTTAGCTAGTTGATTTTAATCTGCTAGTGGTAAAGTTAGCATTACTTTAAACATGCCCTAACTCAAAAATACTCATTTAACTCTAAATTTATTTAAACTCCAAATTTCACAATTTCAGAATTTTTACATATTTCCATTACATTCAGATAAATTAGTAATGGATACCTACCTTTGGTGTGGGAGACCGGGGTTCAATCCACCACTGTGTCCCTGAGCAAGGCACTTAACCCCTAGTTGCTCCAGAGGCGTGCAACCTCTGACATGTATAGCAATTGTAAGTCGCTTTGGATAAAAGCGTCTGTATACCAGGTGATGGCGACGATGCAGCCTCCATCATCACTGTCCTTTGTCTGTGGCAAAAAGAAAGAGCGACCCCTTTTCCGCCGCACTGGAACGTCATGTTGCTGATTAGATTAATTTTACATGGCTTTGTCATCATCTGTATTTTAATGTTTGTGTATTTTAATGTATTTAATTTTCTACTTTTACTTATCTTACTTTACTTTTCGGGCCTGAGTCAGTGTTTTGAGTACCTGTCAGGGCCCATATTTGGTCGCTCATGCAATATCAGATTAATTACATTAGGATAAATTTGGTGAAGATCATGATGAGGGTAAGATTGTGAAAAAGACCAATAAATTGACCTTTTATTCATTTTATATAGCAAATATATAATAGCTAATAAACAATTTAATTGAGTAAAAACACATATTGCAATTACTGAGCTTCTTGTTTTAGGCCACAGATTGTGTTAAACTTTCTTTTTTACACATCTTATGTTGAAATCCACACAAAATCACGTGTAACAACACGTTCGTGTGTCATTTTTTTAACACAACCCTTCTGCTGAATATGAAGTCACTGATATAACCTGAAGACTCAGGACAGGACTATACAGGACATTCTGTTCTTTTTTGCCAGTGTAAAGAAAGAAGATAACATGGGATGAGTCCAATGCAACAAATTCCACCAAAACCCTAATCCCCTGATCCACTTTGGAACTTTGCTCTTGCACAATGTGTCAACCATCAGTAAATAAGAGATCTAAGGTCATGGAGAGTGCAACCTTCAAAGGAGAGAGCCCATGACTGTGGCAAGACCTTCAGAGTTTGAATTTAATCTGACATGTGACACAACTGCTTCCATTCTGAACCTTCAGAGCTAGATGGGGTGAACGAGACGGCATCTTGTAGCTCCACCAATCACAGGACAGGAACTCAAGTTGAGCTTATTAGAGCAGAGAGGACGTCCTGCAGAGCTGCTTTTGACCACTGACCTTTTACACATTCCTAACATCCATCTTCCCAGATGTCACGGATCAGGTACCTGGGAGAAGTCATGTGGGTTCAGCTCCACACGACTGAACAAACCCAGGCCTGATGGCAAGACGATGTGAAGTCTGTCAGTGTTTACTGTCTGAGAATGGAATGATGTTTAACCGTCCACAGGTTAGGGCTGGCCAGGAGTCAGTGAACATTCCCCAAGCAGCTGACCAATCAGGAAAGAGGTGTCAAGCAGAATCAAAACATGATCAAGGACAACCAGAACAGAAAACACAGGGAAATAGAAAAACAAAGGAGCTGTGGTCAGTTTTCTCTGACCGGTGTTGTATCCTAGGCTTAGTAGGCTACTGGGTTTCAAACTTACTGAGATGTGTGCAGCACCTGTGCCTCCGTCCCCAGATTCGACACACGTTCACAAACATATTCCTTTTCAAATTCAATCTCACATCTACTGCGGCGAATATGATTGTAAAAATGAGCACTACATTATAGCCGCCCACGAAAATGAAGAATGAAGAATTTAAAGGCAAAATAGGGTAGGCCTTTTTTTGCATGATGCCATCAAGCTGGGTATCGAACTCAGTAGAGCAAAATCAGTAGACACAACACAGTAGGCTACCAAAAGGTTTGTGGATGCTTTAGGCTATAGTAAGATACGAGAGACCCACTCAGACCTCTTTATTTGCCATTAAGTGCTCGTCAGTACCGTGTTTTAATGCAGAGCATTACTCCAAATGAGCCCAGCACGGTGTTCCATTTAAATAGGCCTACTGACTGAAAATTATCCAAACATTTCAATCCGTGGATCATTCGTTCACATTCAATTTGCTGAATTAACTAATAACAGTTCATTTTTGCTGTGTACCATTAGATGTACTGACAATTATCAATGAATTACTTCGATAATATTCAAAGGGTGGTGATGGGGCAGTGGATAAGACACAAGCCTTTGGTGTGCGGGACTCAGGTTCAATTCCCCACTGTGTCAGAGGTCACAAGCCTAGCTGCTCCAGAGGCGAGCGACCTTAGCAATTGGAAGTCTAATGCATAAATGTAATGTACTGAAGAAATCTTAAAAACTGGAAGATTCTCAGGCAAGTTCTGAAGTGTTACAGTACACACATAGTGAGTTGCACTGTGTACTGAAAGATTAATCTTGTTTTTCTATTTCCCAAAACATCTAACTAAAAACCTACTTGCGTTCAAGCTCATCTTCATTACAAAATCAGGCACCGCCATCACCCATCTGTATTTGCTGCAACACACAAAGCAATTTCCTGCTTACACAAACCGGACACGGTAAATATCGAAATTAAAAAACAACTTGCTTTTTTCATTTGTCTGATTCAGTTGAAACGGAATAATCAAAGAACAAACGATACCCTGATTAAAAATGACTTCAAAAACAAAATCCAAGAGACACAAAATTACTACAAAGACATACAAAATGACCACAAAGAGACACAAAATGTCTAATGATCTGCTCTAAAGCCAAGTGCTTCTCGATAGAAAACTGTTTGAAAAGAGCATGGAGATCGGTTGATATTTTCCTGGCAGATAAATGAGGATATAAAGTCAAAATGTACTTGGCACAAAAAAGTAATGAAAGAAGATCACTTCATGGGATGAGTCCAGTGCAACACATTTCATAAAAACCCTTATCTCCTAATCCACTTTGAAACTTTGCTCTTGCGCAATTTAAATAAAAGGAAAACATTGAGAGCATCAGGACACGGCAGCAGTTTGCCAGCTCTTGCGTGATCTGTGCCTCCTCTGTCCAGCGTGGTGGTATGTTTGTGAAATGAAGATATAGTGACTTAATGCAGACAGAACAGAGCCGTGTTCCTTCTCTGTGTATCTGACTGAAGTCTAGGGCTCAACTGGCAGCTGGAGAGACACCCACATATGTTGCAAGTCCTCCTCTCCTTCTATAAAACCTACCCTGAAGATTCATTACAAACACATTTCTGCAGAAAGGGTGGAGGGGGGGGGGGGCACACACTGGTTTATGGGGAACATCATGTACAAAAGGAGCAGACTGCAACAATGCCCAGAGAGACATTGTAAAATAAATGATGATGCCTTGCTAGCATGCAGTATGTAGGTGACTTAACAGAATAAACTGTGCTTGATTAATGTAAACTCATTTTGAGACAAAAAGTTGATGTGGTGGTAACTCACTACACCGGAAGGTATACCTAACTTTTCTGTGGCTAGGTGCCTCATACTTTAAGAATGTACTAGATTAGAGCAGATTATAGGGTAAAGTATATCATGCTGTAACAAAATACACTGTTTAGCCCAGAGTAAAGTGTCCTCTCAGTGCATACAAAGCCAGAAGATGATGCAGGCATTTGTGAGACTGGGCTGCCCTCTAGAGTTCAATAACCACAACATCAGTGTTCCAAAAAGCTTGAAGCTGTGCAGATCTGGGCATGACCAAAGCATATGAATCAGAGTAGTTGGAAATCATTTACATCTGTCACAAGTGCAATCTAAATCATGGATATATTTCGGTGATTTGGTTTTTGTTAAATGATCACAATGTACAATCTTAAATTGCATGAGCTTGTGTCTACTACAAGGAGAGGAGAACATGATCAAGGATTGCTTGCCAAGTCTCATTCAAAAGTGAACATAATAAGACTCTGCAAATCCTGGAGATCAAAAACAGTGTTTCTGTATTAAATGTGTAGGTAAAAATGAATTTGTCTTAAATGATTACTATAAATATATGCACATTTTCAAGTGGCCTTTTATTGTGGCCAGCCTAAGGCACACCTGTGAAATCCCCATGCTCTGATCAGCATCTTGATATGCCACACCTGGGAGGTGGATGGATTATCTCGGCAAAGGCGAAGTGCTCACTAACACAGATTTCGACAGATTTGTGAACAATATCTGAGAGAAATAGGCCTTTTGTGTACATAGAGAAAGTCTTAGATCTTTGAGTTCAACTCATGATGAATGAGGGCAAAAACAAATGTTGCGTTTATAATTTTGTTCAGTATATGTGTATATATATATATTTTTATAATTAAATGCCACTTTCACTATACAGAAGAATGCAGATCTTCTAGTTGAGGCTAACAAATGTCTGATAGAGGTAGTCATGTCATCCCTTCTTGATGGAAGTCGTTCGCTCATATGAAAAAAGTGCACGCATCATCACTAATGCTTAATGTAATTATTTGTTTAGACTTAATTATCCTAAAAAACAGAAAGCCTGCAGCTTCATGCATTTTTTTTACAGGAAATTACAGAAACATTTCTGGGTCAAATACTGATTGCATGACTCAGTTTCAGATAAAGACAGTTAATATCTTATTAATCAATAACCATGTTAAACAGCATGACACTCCCAGGCTGACTTGAATTGATGTTATTCAGTGTAGGTAAATCATTTCCAGCAAGCATAATGCAAAGGACTTTTCCAGTCATTATACATCCTTAGCTGTAATATATGGGAGCCAGCTCGTGATGATAAGGAGTATGTTGAAACCAGCAAGTCATAGTGACAGGGGTGACTTTTGACTTCTCAGTTTTACACCGTTGTGTCAGAGAAGGCTGGAGTTTCCTTCTGGCAACTTCTAGTTTTTCCAGGACACTTGATCCTGTCCCACATTGTCCACAAAGCTGCTATCTGCAGCAGGAGTCAAAAGAAACTGGCGGTTCTTTCAAATAGGGTTTTATTTAAAATATAATTACAAAGGTCTAAGCTTTCGACAGACATATACCATCAGCTATAACATAGAGAAACAAAGACATTTATATTACATGACAGAGGAAGAGGCCAAACTGAACTCTAGTCCCTGCTCTAGTTCCAACATTAGCTCTTTCAAATGATACTTCCTTATTGAAGGGTGGTTAAGTAACAGATTTCTTCAACAGTTGTTGCAGGTTGGTTGTTGCAAAAAATTATCAGAAATAAAGTTAAATAGTACTGAGCTGGGCCACAAGGCAAAGACACTGAAAAATGTCTCTACAGGGGGGCCTCTTTGGTTAAGTGGTAGAGCGGGTGTCAACTTATCAGAAGGTCTTGGGGTCTTTCCCCAGAAGATTTTGAGCATTAAAAACTTAATTTCCTGTATTCTGGAGACATTTTCTGCACCAGTTTACGGTGGAAATGTCTTTATTTATAGAAAGGGGAGCACAAAATTCAGGTGGCAGGTGACAATTCAGAATATAAAAATATAATGGAATATTTTTATTCCAACATTTTTAACAAATGCTTTCAAAAAGTGATGGACACATTTCCCCAGCGTCCCCAGTGTAAATGACACCTATGAGAAGGTCGGTAGTTTGATCCCCGGCTCCCCCAGTCTGCATGTCAAAGTGTTCTTGGGGAAGACACTGAACCCCAAATTGCTCCTGATGCGATCGGTGCTGTTCCTGGTGAGCAGTTGGCACCTATGCTCAGCCTATGGGGTTAATGTGATGCAGTGTTAACGCGTTTTGAGTGGTCGGAAAGGCCTATTCAAATACAGACCTTTCATCCTCGTTAAGATTTTGTTAATTGTTAGATTCGTTTTGATCAAAAATTTCGATCTGTTCACCAATGCAGTACCCTTTATTAAGGGGAACCAATTACAAGGAAACTGTGGCGTTTAACCTTAAAGTCATATGTACTCACAATAAGCTCTTTAATTGGGCAGCTTTAGAGAAATTAAATAAATTCAGTGGATGATTGACTCAGGGTGAGGCAGCTTTACAGCACGGATTTCTGTTTTTAAAAGATCTGCATTGTCCTTGAAAACAGAAAAAATGAGTTTTCAGTTCCAGAACAGCTGATCAGAATAAGTTCAATCAACCTGATAAAAAAAAAAAAAAGACATCAATGGAGCTCCAATTCACTATGGCAACGGATAAATTAAGAGCAGAGCCTCCATTTTTAATCCAGAGGCGCTAGAAATATGAATGTGTGCCAACATGGACCATGACATTCACGGTATCTACTAAACACGAGTGGAGGAAGAAGTCAATAAGTTAACATTACATTTTATTCAGTGTAGTCCGCTTATTCAGCATTTATTAGACTTAAATTTCCATAATGAATGATAAAGTGCTGGAATCCTTCTGTATGTTACACTGGATTTTAAATAAGCATTTAATGTGTCACATTAACACTATATGCAGCTAATGTTCAAAAATTCATTTTTAAACATCATTTCAGCTGCTAATCATTCTCACCATTATCTCCAACAAGTTAACAATGATCTGACTGGAACATTCATGACAAATGCTGGTTCATTGATCAGTTACAGCCCTAATAAAGATTTGTTTGATTTAAACAGGGATTGGCATACTGCTGTAATGTAGCCCCCGCTAGCAACTGTTGCTAACCTGAGAGCTGCCTCGTCATGTCCAGAGTCGCAGTGTTTCGAATAGTTACTGAGCCAGGGTTCATCTGATCTGTCTCTGAAACAGGAAACTCAGATGTTTTCACTAAACCTGCTTTCTGAAACAGGGCCCGGGTCAGCTGGCAAACTAAGATATTGGTGGTCTAATACTCCACTCACACTTCCTCAAGGGAGATTGAAACTAAACTACATAAAGTGATTTGGCCAAGGTAGATGCCTCTCAGCTCTGAAACCTCTCAGCACAGCCTCTCAAACATTTAAAAAGGCCTCTGTTTTTGTTGTTGCTGCTGGAAACACCAGTGAATCAATTAGATTACATCACTGATAGATTGTCCTCAATAAACTGTATCAGCCATATAAAACTCATCAAAGCCTGGGTTGTCATGGCAGCCTATGCAGGTGACAGCGTTTTCAGATGTGAGCTGGTACGGATGCTGTTGATCAAGACCGCCACTTGTAGAGGCTGAATAGTCCCACAGAAAAACAGACACCAAAAGGGAAATTATGCTATTATTTCTCCACAGGTCTCTGATGTAGATGACATGAATAGGACGACCACTTCAATGGGATTTTGATCCACTGTACCTGCGTCTGTGCAGCGCTCAAAATAATCCCGCCACATTTTCTCTTATTTAAACTGTGCTGCATAAGGGCCCCAGGACAATTAAACAGTGGTTAAACACAGGTTAATATGAAAGAAACCATGTAAAATATTTAAGAAACCAAAGCATTGTAAACTAATTTAAGAAAGCAGAACCTAAGAGGGGAATCTTCCTGTACTGTAGCACTGAGAAACCAGACCGCATTACACGGGTCCTCCCTTCCTTTTCCAATTTAGGACTGCATATTTATAACAAAATATTAGGTAAGCTCAGTGGGTTTTTTTTTATTCAGCATAGAGATGAACTGGTTGCTAAAGCAATTACTCTGTAAAAAGTCGGTTGAGGTTATGGCTTTAGACCAATGGGAAGTCTGACAAAACTGAAGATGAACTCATCCTTTATTACATTCTCAGAGAGCAGTGATCTACAGCAGTTTGACACTCAGAAAACTGTCCTATAGAAGATTGGATTATATATCTTTTACATACACAAAATACAGAGGCAAACAGCTAAATTGCAACAAACAAGCATTAAATTAATTGAGTAAAAACTAGTGAAAATGCTTTTGTTTTGTTTTTTTACACACAACATTCACTACAATTCTGGTTGCATTCAATTCTGAATCTCAATCTGATAGGGATTTGATGCAGCACGTTTGAAAGGTGGGAATTTGCTGGCTCTTGAGCTCTCAGACTTGTTTAGATAAACGCTTTGGTAGAGATAAGAAAAAATAAAATAAATCCAGGTGCCTCCACATAGCAAATATTGACAGCAACATGTATACATCTCAGTTTCATCTTAAATACCTGGTAAGAAAAATGTGTGGAATGATGAAGGCTTAACAAAAGAGATGTGATAACACTTAATCTATACACATACTCCAGATTAAATTATACATTTCCATCACAAGCTAAACCAGAGCTCAGAGCCGTGGAACTGTGCCAATTTAAATTTGTCTTACTAAAGTAAATTTGTACGCCATCTGTACACTGGGGGTGAATGAGAAGTGTTTGAAGCTGGGGTTTGGACGAAGGATTAGGGCCACGGTCAGGTGCTTCTGCAGAGGGACATCGATCCTTGCCCACCACAGTATTGCAGGTTACGGGCAAGGACGTCACAAACAGCCCAAACACACAAACATACTCGGCAGTTGTGTGTGTGTTGGTGCTCCTCTGACAAAGACACACTGGTAAAGATGTCAGCAGAGTAACCCCGCTGTTCAGCAGGCTGCCCTCATATCAAGACTCATACGTCGTCAGCTCTGGATTCTCTCAGTCACCTCTTTGCTCCCAGCGAGCCTGAATTAGGGCTTTCACCGATTCAGACGCTGGCCACGTTGTTAGGATTTTCCTGAGAAACAACTGCTCTGTAAACCAAACAGCTTGAGGTGAGGCTGAGCTTAAAAGGTTGACCGGGAACTAAGATGAGAGGAGCTGGTAGGAGAGTCTAATATGAGAGCAGCCCACTAAACAAGCAGGGTTTAACCTCAGCAGCCGGCCTGGGTGATATCTCCACCGGAGCTCTTGGTCACCTCCAGAGTAGTAAAGATCTAAAAGGAAAAAGAGCAACACACGTCAGGCAGTGCAGCTTTATTACGCAGCAGGCTATTGGCAAGGTTCAAGGCTGCCTGGAACTAAACAATTAAAAAATAAAAAAAACACATTGGTTTCTCGGTGAATACTGCAGCTTGTTGTTTAAAAACTATAGTTCCATAAAAAAATAAAAACACCACGTGTCTTGCATTAATTTCAAAATAAAGATAAAAGGGCCAAACTTTGTTGCAAAATGTAAATGCTAGTAATGTGAAACAAACAAAAGACAACAGAGTAGCTTAATGCGCTATAGTTTTCTCCATAATACATTAACATAATGAATGAGTAATGCTCAGATATTTTAAATACGCTATCAACACACAGCATGGATCATGGTAGACGGAAACAATTGAAACTGAAGTATTCATTCAGCATCAAGATCTGTGAAAAACTAAACATGGTTGAAAACAGCCTTCCACTACAAACACACATTAATACTTTAAGCCGTTGCCGGTGGCTGCCCTGTTTTATGTATTCTGGTCAAATCTGTGTCTGGCACAGCAAAATCCTTAACACAGATTTAGAAACTAGTCAAATGAGGGGGAATAGTTGAGCACGATTTTTAGTTTTCACTGTTTTGGACTTCCTGGTATATTTGGGACCCAAGTGCAAATCTTTTAAAATGAGTGCGCAATGTACAGACACAGAGCTCTCTATTTGTGTTCAACATGTTTGCTGTGTTCCTTTTCCTGCTTAAAACGTTTTGTACATTGTGCACAGCATTTTTCCCCATTTCCTGCTTCTTCTTACTAGTCGGTCAACAGAATACTATTGCAACATGCTGTAAAAAACAGCTGATGTTTCGTTACACTGTGAAATGTTGGATAAGTGGTTAAGTATCACAATGATATTTTAGACTGGTCTGCAGTGTTAACCCAGTCTTAATTTTGCTCTTTCATTAGTCTAATGCAAGTGTGTTCACATGCGCACTAGTGTCCTGGTTTTGAGCCTGGGATCATTTGGGATATGAACCTGGTTAACCATCTCCCTGTATCCATGATTCTCACAGTATGCAGGTTTCTGATCACTGGTACGCACTTGTGTCTTGGCTCCTCAACATTTCAGCCATTACGTTTAGTACCAACCAATATCTGACACCTGCGGACTAGTGGCGTAAAATAATTTTTATAACAATGTAGTAGAGCAAGAGAGAATGTTTCAGAGAGCAGTAACCTGTTGGATATATACAGCAGTGAGGACGTAGGAAACAATGAGCGTGACTGATTAGCTAAAGCACTGAGCCCCGCCCCTTTAAGAAGCCACAGCATCTCAGCTCTGCTACAGCTCTGCGATGTGCTTAGATTTTATGCCACTGCAAGTTTCTTGAATTTTTAAAAAAACATTCCGAAATTTCACAGTAAACTGTCCTCCATTTTCAAGTAGGCAAACGTTTCTGTTGGGGTGACCAGAGTTTTAACAGGTTGCTCAGTCAGCAGTGTTTTTTAGTTTGAAATAAGCCTTTACCCAGAATTCATAGCAAATTAGTCAGACTTAAAATAACTGAGAAGCAAACAGCTTTGTGCAACTGGTTCATTTAAATATATAGTATATAAAGTATATTCATTTAATCTAGAGCTTAACTTGACTGTTTGTAAGCTAGAATTTGACAAGAGTGGACAGCTAACCAAACCGGACTACAGAACATTAAATGATGGAAGGTAAACAATATTAAAAAAAAATAAAAACAAACTTCTAATTAAATGATGGCAAATAATGACAGCGTTAACGTCTTACCTCAGCACAGGTTGGGTGGATGCCAATGGTGCCGTCTAGCTGCTCCTTGGTGACGCCACATTTCATGGCTGCACCGAAGCCCTGCGTCACCTCGCCAGCATTTGGACCGAGATAGTGGAACCCTATGACTCGATTCTACAGTGTGATAGTTCCAACAAAAGACCATCATTCACGTGACACAACAAGGGGGTACAGGTTGCTGCGGGCTCAGAATTTATACAACTGTGGAAAAGTAGTAATGATCTTACGTTGTCCAGTTTATTGCAAATGATCTTGCTGTAGCATCTGTTGTTGTCTCTGCCTGGCACAGTAAATTCCAGAGGCCAGAACAGACTGTGGTACACCTGAACATAAAGAGCAGATATCCCATTACTTATATGCAGGTGTTTTTAACGCTTATTACTTATGACACATCCAACAAATCTACCATGTCTGCAATTTGTTCTAAACTGCAAAACATTAAAAATAAAGAGGAAGTTCAGTTGGTGTGCAGTAAAAGTCTGTCTGAGTGTACTGGAATTGTGTAATATTACAACATAATTTCAGGCTGGTATATGGTTCATTCTGCATGCACACACAAGCAGAAGAAGATTAGTAAATCGTAACAGGGATAATCAGGTTTAAAGCAGCACCTTGAAGGAAACTGCAGACAAAACTAGTCTGACAGGATGAGTTCTTTAACAGGTAACGCCACATCAGCTTGCACGATAGCATAAAACTTACTAACATGACCAACTGAAATCAGCTATGTCTACTCATGTGAGAGTTTTAATGTCTTCATTGATTACACAGCAGAACTCGTGTCTTACTTTAGCCAGTCTGTTAGAAGGCACGCAGCCAGGTGAACCAGACAGCTAATAAATGATTCAGATGACTGAACGTGTTCGTTACCTCAAGGTTGTCCTGTCCGTACAGCTCAGTGGCTCTCTCCTCTGACAGACCACAGGCGCCGTACTCCAGTGGGGTGAAAACAGTGGTGGGAACATTGATGTAGTCACACTGCATAAAACGGAGACAATTAATAACTGTTTGTAATTTAAGTCCTCCTGTGGTCACATGTTGCACATCATATTAGTTCCGAGTTTTCATAATAACATTGTCTATAAAATGAACCTCACATTAGGAATTCCTCCTGGCATTGTTTTAGAAATATGAATCTCAGTGGATTCATTAAGGTGTTGATCATGCACAGCAGAAAGACTAATTCTATTATTTAAAACAAGTACAAATAAAAAGGCAACAAATATTCACCTCTTATTGTGGCACACCTAAATCACTAAAAAGCAGCCAATTGTTTTTGAACATGACAAAATCAGTTTAAGGGAGATCACAAATATTACTGTCTAGATCTGCTCTATATGAAAAGTGCAATGAGATATTTTTTGTTATCAAGTGTTCCTATATAAATGAAATTGAATCTCCAAGTTGGACTACTAGATTTTCATTAAGGATGCAACAAATCAATTCGATTTTTTGAGGCATCACAATTTTCTTCTTTTCATATGTTTGTACATCATGACCACATTAACAAGAGCATCATTTTCAATATAAATGAAGGAAAAGTCAGATGGATTTACTTCCACTATCATTTATGAACTGTAGTGTGTTTTACTGTTGTGCTGGTATTTATATTGAAACTTTAAGAAGCTCTGAGAATGATAGTTTCCTCCTTATTGTCAACATGTTAAAAATCTAACATGCTAAAAGTAAATCCTAGAATTTGCAGGTCTACGGTTTAAGTGTCTCTCAATGCTGATGTACCTTGAGTTTTGAGCCACTGTAGAGGCGTCGTGCCAGCAGCTTGCCAGCTTGAATGGCCACAGGTGTCAGCTCCCACTTGCCTTCCAGAATGTCTCCGATGGCGTAGATGTGGGGCACGTTGGTCTGCTCTTCATCGTTGACTGGAATTTTTCCATTCCTGGAGGATGGTACGGAGGTCAGTGAGGAAGAACAAACCACACTACATTTCAATTTTAGGCCTTTTTTTGTAGATTAAAATTACATTTCCTTTAGGAAAACAGTCTGAAAGGTTTGATTCTAGAGATGCAGCAATTACCGGATTTCAACATTAACCGCGCTTTAGAAACGTCAAGGTTAACCAATTGTAAAGGCTCCGCTACACCGAGTGTTTCTGTTGCACGAAACAAAACTGTTGCAACTTGCACAAAACGAAAACAAAGTTACACGAGCGGTGCACAAGCTTAAAGTGTGGTGCTTATCAGAGACATGGAGACTAACTGTTCGCTGGCTAAACTACGGCAGAGGGACCAAACTGTGAAGCTTCATTTCCACCACAGAAATGGCAGAAGTCGACAGTGTGGGAGCATTTCGGGTACACCAATACATTTTTTTAAATCGCTGCTTTTCTGAAAGGGCCTTTATGGCAGACAGAATGTTGTCCTCTCTCGAGACCTTCAGTCACTTACATCAAACGTTTCCTCCTGTCTGTGTTGAGAAAATGTTGGCAGGCGTAAATCACTAACAAAACATAAGGAGCTTGTAAACTTCCAGGACTGAACCAATTAACTGCATTTCAGTTCTTAATAACACTGCATGAGAGATGTTCTCAATTTCTTCATTCATTTTCACTAAAACTTATATGTACTGAAATATTATAGAAATATAATTGTTAATGTAATTAATTATTAAAAATCAACTTTTGTCATTACTAGTGAAATCAATTAATGCATAATCATGATAATTGTAAAACCGTGATTATTCCTCAGACTAACTGTACCAACAAAATCTGTAATCGTATCCCTATTCGATTCGTATTAATCATCTTTGGTTAATGTTAGTATTCATTCCAACTTATTCTAAACATTGTAGGTAACTACAGGTAAACCATGACATTTGTCCAAAGGAAATACAACACCTCTAGAAATGCAGCAGAGGGCCATCTAGCCATCACAGGGCAGAAATCAAATTATGCAGAATGGGGAAACAACTTCACCGCCACGCCACCGCCAAGCCATTAAACTGAAAATTTAACAACATGGCTTCATCAATGTGTTAAGGGTTTTCTGGGACAGTTCTGATGTCCAACTTGCTCGGAGTAGTGCATTACAGAGTAAAACGTGTCATTTCCTCTTGCCAGCAGGTGGCGCTGTAACTTAGAGTAACTATTGGCATACGGATGTTTTCAGGGCGCGACTCTTATTATTATACATGTAAAGTTTGGTGCAGATCTGAGCATGCACACTGAAGATATAACAACTTCCTGTTTCACGGCGAATCATCAATTTTGGACACCAAGCCATGGACACGCCCATAGACGATAACTCACAGATAGCACAACTTTTCATCGTCAGTGCCTTTAGAAGGCACAGCAGAAATTTGAAGTCGATCGGACTCAATCCCTAGGAGGAGTTTGTTAAAGTACGGCAACAATGAGCATTAAATCCAAAATGGCTGACTTCCTGTTGGGAAGAGGCTTTTTGGTACATGATAAATGTGCCACAGAAATTTTATACATGTAGGTCAAACGTGCGGCGGGGGCTGCTTCGTTAAAGGTCACTTCCTGTTGCAAGCAGGTGGCGCTATGACTGTGGGTGAAGGTCGGCTGATGATACACGGTGCAACTTTTTGAGCAATGTTGCTAGTGGCAAGTCCGACTATGTTTTGAACGGATAGCGGTGGTGCGGGGAGGTTGACGGAGTGGTGGGGGAAGGGGATTACAGTAGTAATCTTTACTCATTACCACTGACGTCAACATTGCCCAGCACCATTGCTCTAAAAGTTGCTCCATGTATCATCAGCTTTAAACACGTAAAATTTGATACAGATCTGAGCATGTACAGTAAAGTTACAACAACTTCCTGTTTCAAGGCCGTGTTATATTCTACACTGTACAGCAAAAAGAAAACCTGCTGATCGTCGCAAAACACACTTGCCCTTTAGCGGTGTGTTGGCTTCATCTGAATACTACTAAGGTCATAAGACTCTGGCATGTGACTCACAGAGTGCTCTTTCATGCTGTCTTAATCCATGCTGGCCTCATAGAACTATTATGTCATTCACAAAAAAGTGGAAAGACAACATCTCCTATGCTTGTAATATTTCAATAAATAGTCAATTGCAAAACATATGGCTGTATAAGAGTTAAATTTTAGTTTTCTAACTTCAGTTTAAAAGTGATAAAAAAGGACAACAGGAAATGTTAATAACCAATGAAAGACATCTACCAAATTAAGTCTAATCAGAAATAAGCAGTCGAATGCAATGTAATGACAACAGCACACCAAGCACTAGGATCATTTCCTTTACGGCATTAAACAGCTGCTCGTATACTGTACAGGGCCTGTCTCTTCTTGCCAACAAGACAACCCTCCTTTCTCCCTATCAAATCCCCCAACCCACTCACACACCACCCCTGCAGAGAGCCATGGGATGGCAATAACTGCTGAATCACCCTGACTGTACCATGAGTCTTAAAGGAACAGGCTGCCACATGTAACGGGATAGACATATGTAGAAAAAATAAAATGGAGATAAGAAACTTACTTGGGGTTGACTTTGACCCCTATCTTGTCCAGGCCGATCTTGTCTGTGCACGCGTCTCGGCCCACTGCTATCAACACCTGAAGAACAAAGAACTGGCTTGGTTAATTTAAAGGACGATTATTCCTACAGAAAAGTTGCTGGTGGTTTATTTATTTACACAAGAATGGCTAAAGATCAGCTTGAGACAAAATGCAGGGAGTAAAAACTAGAGAAAAGTAAAAAAGGCACTGCAAAACATTAATGTCTTTATTGGTTTAATATGATTATTTCAACCCTGCGTTACAGCTTTCTGTCCTGATATTTAGCATTTAAAAAGGTCAAATTATATCAGAATCGGAAATTTACTAAAATCAGAAACACCAAATCTACATTTGATCATTATTGGTCAATATAAACAGACCCTGAACCAACAAAATTATGGAAGGCCAAGTGATCAATATAAGTCATATAAATAAACTGCGTAAAATCTACATATGAACGATACTTTATTTACATATTCAAAATCCTTATTTTGAGATGCTAATTTTCACAAGTGTAAAGTTATTTCATATCATTTTACCCCAATGACACTTGTTACATGCCACTTTTTACTTCATAAAGCACTATTTTATTTCATGCCACGTATGACAGTGGTGTAAGTCAATGCTCTCCAACCTTTCAGTTACTCAGAGAAAGACACCTCCAAAAGGAGAGTAATCTGAGTAATCAAGATCATCCTGTCTCACAATGATGCGGAAAAACTAGTCCTCACATTTGTTATGTTTAGACTGGATCTCTGTAATTCTTTATTATCAGACTGCTTGAATGAGTCCCTTTGGACTCTTCTGCTGACCCAGAATGCTGCGGCGCTTGTTCTGGCAGGAATCAGGAAGAGAGATCATATTTCTCCTGTTTAAGCTTCTGTGCATTGGCTCCCTGTAAAATCCAGACCTACAAAAGCTCTTAATGGTCAGGCACCATCTTATCTTAAAGAGCTCATAGTACCTTACTGCCCCACCAGAGCATTGTAGCAATCCAGGGTTCCTAGAGTCTCCAAAAGTAGACTAGGGGCCAGAGCGTTCAGCTATCAAGCTCCTCTCCTGTGGAACCAGGTTCCAGTTTGGGTTCAGGAGGCAGACACCATCTCCACATTTAAGAGGAGGCTTATAGTTAGTGCTGGCTCAGGTGAGTCCTGAACCATCCCTTAGTTATGCTGGTACAGGCCTAGACTGCCAGGAGACTTCCCATGATGCACTGAGCTCCTCTCTCTCTCCCACTGTATGCAACTTCATCCCATTAATGCATGTTACAAACTCGACTTCTTCCCTTTCCCGTAGAATCTTGTGCTTTCTCGTCCCTCTCCTCTCTCCTCCTGTCACTTTGTTGTTCCTGCTCGACCCCCTTTGCTACAATTATTCCCACTGTTATTATTAACAATACTATAATTATCAGTAGCATTATTCACTTTCAGTCTGTACGACCACTACCTGTACTGCATTTATTTATTTTACATTTCATTCATATGATGACTTATTGCATGTCGTCTTAATTTAGTTTAACACTTTGGGATTCGATACTGAATTGGTCAAGAAAGAAACTTCCACAGTGCTCAACAACAGTCACACCAGTAACAGAGTTCAGGGAAAGTTCAGTACATACAGTGTTGTACTCTCCCTCGATGATCTCATTGGTTTCTGTGGACTTGGCCGTCACCTTCAGTCTGCCAGGAGTGCCTGCTTCCAGCTCCTCTACCTGACATGCACAGATGCAGGAAAGTCAGAGGAAAAAATAAATACTTGTGCTTCTGTGAAATGTCTAGCTGAAGAATTAAACTTATGATGCAAGATGGTACACAATAAGTCTGTTGCTGTACAGTTACACAGTTCAAAGTCTGCTGGCTACCTGTTGCTACCATAGACTGTAATAGAAGTGGACGTAGTCATCGTGACGTCACCCGTTGGTTTGTGGATTGAGTTTGGCTGATAGGGCGCCGAAATGTTGATTTTTTGTAACCAGCTATACTGGACGTGACCATATTTGGACAAGATGGTGGAGCTAACAGCTGTGTGTGGAGCTAGCTAGCTTGCTTAGCTAAATGGAAATGTATTTACGTTAAATTTACGTCATTTTAACTGGGATGATAATTTTGTTTAGCGAACAACAGGCTTAAAACTAAATGTACTCACCAGAGAAAGTGAACAGCCAACTACTAATAAGGAGTAATGGGTACGAGTCACTCTAGCATGATTGACAGGTCGCCATGGTAAAGACTTGTCAATCATAGACAGTCCCGCCCTGAAGCATACTCTGCTTTATGGTCTATTTTCCTCTAAAAAGCTACCATATTTAAATAAATGAACGCCATGTTGTATTGTAGAAGACTTGAAACTAGCGATTGAGACCAGAAACTCATTAGGAAAGTGTTTACTGAGGTAATAAATCAGCTGAGAAGTAGGGTCATTTTGCCATTATTTCTAATGGAACTGGACTTCTTTTTGTAACCGGAGTCGCCCCTTGCTGGATTTTCAATAGAATGCAGGTTTAAGGGACTTCCGCTTTCGATTCTCTTTTCAGCTCTGGAGGTTCGCGCACTATATAACATTGAAATCCCTAGCAAGAAATCCATTGCGAGAATAATGTAGTGTGTACCACATCACAACAACAAAACTCTTCAGCAGGCTAGCTATAAGAAGAAGCAAAAAGTATAGAATGAAAAATGTAAGTTCTTTGGAAGAAGCAAGCAAGAGAAAAAGACTGATCGAGCAAAAGACTGGAGAAGAGTAAATATCGGTATGGCTTTCACTCTTTGGCGTGAGCTTCAAGAGCTGAAAGGATGCAGAACAGATGCCGAGCTTGCCTTCTTCCTGTAGGACAAGAAGTAATAACTTATTAGCTGGCTTGCTTTGTCTTGTGTTGTCCGCTTGTTTGATGTTTGCCTGTGCTAGCAAGTTGTCACTAGGGCAAAATCAGCCAGGAGGTTTCACAGACAGAGGTTTACCCACCATCTATAAATTTAGAGTTGATGTTAGCAAACTAATTAATTAACTAATAATTAATAATGTTCATATTAAAACATTTGATGGGTTTTGTCCAGTTCTGCTGCAGCCATATTTAAACTAACATGCTTTACTTTGACAGATTGTATTTTAGCACCAGCAGCATTTTCACTCACCCACACACACAAGTCTTGTTAACACTCACCTTTATAGGGACATATTTACGGAGGAACTTGACACCGTGCTCCTCCATGTGCTCTCCGGCACGGTTGGCCATGTCCTGGTCAAAGCCTCTCAGCAGTATGGACCGGACCATGATGGTGACATCGAGACCCAGGCCAGCAAGGAAACCACCACACTCCAGAGCCACATACGACGCCCCTATCACCAGGGTCTTTCCCGGACAATAAGGTAACGAGAAGAGGTCGTCACTGATGGACAAACACAGACCGACAGCGAGGAGATTAAATAGAGACTGGGTAACACATGAAGCTAGGGTTGGCTACATAATGGTATATACCATGAAACAGTAGAAATTTGACCCCACTGTTTCTACTGTTGGCTATAAAGGGTCTCTGCTATGTCCACCGCCCAAAAGAGAGATATTAATCTGTTCAGTTAGGAAGCATAAACAGTTAAAACTGTCCAGTTGGACAACAGTTTTATTTTTAGTGTGTTGTTTTCATTCATTAAGTCCTTGGCTGTGTTCGAAACGGAAGGCAGTTGCCTCGCAGACAGCTGCCTCAGAAGGCATCACTTACAAGTAAAGGCAGCTCTGTTTACATTAGTTTCGAACAGCCTTCTAGGGCAGCACTTACGGCAACGTGTGACGTCAGCACGCCGTCTTCCGTCTCAGAAGAGACGCTAGCCTTAGCATAAGCTAACTAGCTATTGAAAAGCCAAACGGCTAACAGACACCTCAGAAATCATACTGAACAAACTTGGTTGGTTACAGTCACAGGCTGATATGATAGTTCAGTGTTTAGTTCTCGCGAGATTTTCAAAAATCAAAGCGAGAAAACTACTAAAAACCTTTAAAAATGTATATTTGTGCACAAATTCAGCTTGTTTGTCTGCCATCTTGACCAGTTTTCGAAAGCTCCGGCGGCCGCAGACGCGCTGCTTTATGGGTAACAGTCAGCATCAAGTCATCATTGATGCTGCCTTCAAAACTGGCCGTTACTGGGGCAGCTTGAAGGCATCTCAGGAGACAGGAAGAGATCGTTCGAGCAGTTTCGAACAGCACTCGATGCCTCGCTGTCCTGTTGGACACCTTCTGAGACAGGTTTAGCCCGTTTCGAACACAGCCCTTTCTGTATGTCCCCATCCAGGCTGTGGTCGGTTCACGAAAAATGACAATGACGAGCAACTTTATGCACACGGCTGCTTCTCCCTCATCTGTCTCCACCGACATTAGCAGGCAGGCAAGAACAGCTACTGGTGAGCGTCACGTAGTGCCCAGAGAACTTGATATGGAGAGGGCAGAAAAGATCCCTGGCAGCTTGTGAGAAGTCCCGGTATGCCAAAGTGTAAAACGTAGAAGTGCTGGTGCCGGCCCACTTCAAGCACTCAAAATTGACGGAACTCTTCTATAAAGCCATAGTCCACCGATGGATTACATTCCAACAAAAATGGTCTGTTATGTTGGCAAAGGTCCAAACGACCCAGTAAAACGCATTATTATTATTATTCTAAAAATACTGCAGACTGCTGTTGTGTAGTTTTAAATTATCCTAACTACAGTTCGTATGTAAACAAAAAACAAGCATAAAACACGGATATACGCTGACCTTTTGTTTGACACTTCAATTGACCCAAGAGAAACTTCCATGGCATTTCCGCAGCCAATGAGTGTCCGCATTGTCAGGAAATGCCAGTCCCCTTTCTTTCGTGTACACACCGAGCCAACAATTGTGCTGAGGACTGGCGCTTCACGCATAGACGTCACGCGACAGTGAGACACAAATACGTGAGAATATTTTCCACAGACATACTTATATTGTTGAACATAAAAACACACCGCACCGGAATTCCTGCACAGCGCCGGAGAACTTTAAGCCCTATAACTGGCAATTGTGCCCTCACCTGGTGATGCAGTACTCCTTGTCTCCAGGAATGCCCAGGTAGCGTGGCCTCTCGCCTGTAGCTAAGATAAACTTAGCTGCCGTGTAAAAGGTCTCTTTCCCTCGTTTGTTTGTTGCCTGTCAGAAAATACAAACAGATGCTCTGTGATATTGAGGTGCTACAAGGAACACAGAGCTACAATGAATATGCAATGACTCAAACAGTATTTTTTTTCAAACAATAAAGGGTGTAGGGTGTTTTGAAACGTCCATCTGCTTTGGATAGTTGGTGATGTGATTACAAATATGAAAGCCAACATCAATGATGAAAGGCAAAAAAAAAAAAAAAAAAAGGGGAGGCTAAATATTTAGCAAAGCCTGTTCAAGAAAAGCAAATAGGATGCCAGAACAAGTTAGACAACATTTCAAAGCAGACTCACATTTGACCAAAATAAAGATAATGCTGTTTGTCAAGTCTGCTGAAACTGGAACTAGGAATGCACCAAAATGTAAATTGTTGGCCGAATCCAAATGTGAAAAACCTTCCCGAATACCGAACAAGATTTATTTTACCAATTTATTTTTACCATTGCATCAATTAAATAGTCAAAATGTGCTTTTTACTCGGTGTTTCCCACAGCATTTGGAGAGACTATGGCGAGTGGGTCCGAGGCCCGAGAGGGTGCGGTAAAGTAAATTACGTGTGTCCATTTACTTTTAATGGACACATGTAATGTGTTTTATACTTTGTGTGAATATAATCCAATTAATCTTATTTCCATCCTGTACAGACACCTTATTTTGAAAACCAGACATTGTCACATGTGTACCCTTGAGATAAATTCATCAAGTCCAACCCAATTTGATAAGTAATGTACAACTGCAACACTTGTCTTCGTACTCACTTACCTTGATTTTATGCGGTTCAATGAACTCTGCATAGGCATTGACATAGTTGACATTCTTGTCTCTCAGTGCCACCCTATATCCCCAGTTCAATGAGCCAATGTAGTTGTTCACAGCAGTCTTCATCGTCTCCCAGTTGTGTTTCACTGAGTACAGACAGACAGACGCCCATCAGTGGAATGACTATTGACACGGCCTGCCTCTAATTTACCACGTCAAGATGGTTTGATGTCCCCCCCCCCAAAGTGACGACCTGGGTCAGTGCTCTGAGCCCTCACCTGTCTCGTCAAACTCCCAGCCGAACTTGCGTGCATCCTGCATGGCCGTGCCCAGCAAGGCTGTCTGATGCATTAGCTTCTTGGGAATGCAGCCAACGTTCACACAAGTTCCACCGAGACCTGATCACCACAGCAGATCCAACCAACTTATTTTCAAATACATAATTAATCACATGCATATTGCTAGGTATCCTAAAGTGAAAGTATCTTACCCCAGGTGGTTCCCTTTGGTGTGGGCACAACATAGTCCAGTACCATGGCCTTCTTCCCCAACGTAGCTGCTTCCTATTGTCAGCAGAGTCAATGTTACCGCACCATTACATCCCTAATGTACCAATACGAGGTTTGTATGCAAGTGGAAACAGGCAATGACTCAAACGTAACTGTGTTTACTGATTACAGCATTACAAGATCACCTTCAGATTTTTAAGTTTAGAAACCACAAACACAACAAATACAAAATTGCACAACAGAGCAACATCCACTACAATAAAGCTTTTAACAGTAACACTGGGAATGTGTTGCACTATATTGTGTCACCTTTGAGCAGGCCAGGCCTCCAGATCCTCCTCCGATGACGATCAGGTCGTAGTCATAAGCTTCATTTTCTCCGCTCAGTAGCTGCTGCAGGCTGCCGTCTTTATGAGCCTGACAAACATTAATACAATCTATCAATACAGCACGTATGCATGTTGATCATGTAGTGGCGATATGCAGCTGCATTATCCAGTGGACACTTCGAATTAAGTCAAGAACGTTAGGGTTAGGAAAAGTTGAGGCTGATACGGATAATGTGTGTTAGGTACACCCTAAAACCTACCGGCACACTGCCGGCTTGGTGTGTGTTCCCCCCCCCCAATTAGGACACACATCTCCCTAAAGCAAACTTAAACAATGGCTCCAAGTAAACAAATGACCATGTACACCAACAGCATGATAAACACCACAGATCACTTAACACTTGCAAATATAGGCCTTTGCGCACACAGCAATGGAACAACCTGTAACTTTAGTCAAGTAGCTCTGGGGGCAATTTCCTGAAACTAAATTTCAGCACCGCTCAGAATGAGGTACTAAATCCAAGGAGACCAAATATTCAAGGAGAAGTAATAGTGTAAAGGTTGTTTGCAATACAGCAAACACCAAAATGAATAACATATTTAGATAAGCACTGCAAGGTTTTTGTTTCAATATACAGGTGATGATTTTAGGATACCCTGAGTAATGTGAGTTTTGTTGCAACGTTCTGCATTTGTATTACATTTCCCTGTAACTTTAGGATAGTGGTGGTATTTTCAAAGTCATGTAACATTTGCAGTAGTGAGCTGTTTGTTTCCACTTTGTAGCACAACTAAATGCTGCAATGGCAATATAGGAAAAAAGAAAGATCTTCTGCCCCAAGTTTCTTCACTGTCACTTCTTTTTTTGACGTTGGAGCAAAGAGAGCAGGACCACCAGTTGTGCATCTGTCCCGATGGACGCACCTGGTTCTAGAGGGGTGGTCAGCAGCGTGGAAGCTGGTCTAGTGTCGGTTTTGTAAACTCTTTTAGCTCCATTCTGCTGACCTCCTTCCACAAGTAGGGCTCTTCTGTTAATTTTACAATACTTGAGTTTAAAAGTCACCACATATACTGTAAATGTCAAAGAAAATAAATGAGCCATGTTTCCATTGGCGTCTGTCCCACACCTAAACTACGCTTGCCACATTACCAAGCGAAGCATGAAAAGGACAATGTGTCACTGTGTGTTGTTGGCTTTTCCAATTGTGTATATCTGAAACCTTTTGGTTTGTAAAACAAAATGACCATATGGATTATTATAGGTTCAGGTTAAGGGAAGGTCCAGATTGAAGATTTACAGATTTCCCATAGTGGAAAGGAGGTAACCGTTTGTATTAGTTAAATTTAAATGAAAAAGTTACTGTATTAACACCTAAAAGCTTTAAAAAGAGGAATTCGAACACAGCATCTACACTGCCTGCGGCTTATGCTTTGACCGGTATTAGATGGACGTATGATAACTTGAAGCAAAATATTACGGTTTCACTGTACCACAATAACAGCTTTAAAATTTGTTGCTTTTAAATGTCTGTGTAAAAAATATAACTTTCTACTGAACACAATACATTTTATTTTTGAGCAACATATTCTACTGCTGCTAAGAACAACAGTGTTTCCCATTAATTAACGAGACCATGGCGGCCCGTCATAGTCCAATTTGCTCCGCCATAGTTTCAAAATGAACCGAAAATATTTTTACACGTCTCATAACAGTACAGACCTCTAACTAACTTTGTTTTGTGGCCGCACTGCTTTAGGCTTATCCCCCGGACCCCCCAGAAGCAAACAAGGAGCCACTAGAGGTTAGCTCACGGGAGACTCACGTTCTTCATTGTACTCTGTACGGGGCGGCTGCGGCTCAGGACGTAGAGCGGGCTCCCCCGGTTGCGTGTCGAAGTGTCCTTGGGCAAGATACTGAAGCTCGAATTGCTCCTGGCGGGTGTTCCGCCAGTGTATGAATATGTATGACTGGTGAATGCAGATGTAGTGTAAAAGCGCTTTGAGTGGTCGAAAAGACTAGAAAGGCGCTATACAAATACGGAGCATTACATTTACATTACTCTCACGGGTCACATTTCTCCCGAATTATGAGTGTGTTCACAACTTTCTGTTCTTTTCTTTGCGGTTTCTAGCACTGTACTATACAACTCAATCCCTACCTCTCTCTCCCCCAACTGTCCACTCAGACAAATAGCATGCACATAACTCAGAAGAGAGCTTGTGGTCCGGTGGATTTCAGGTGTAAGAAAGGGAAATTGTGAGCAGATGATAGCGAGGTAGAGGAGGAAGAGAGCCACATGTATAATAATGGCTTTTGTTAAGTTTTTTCCTTCACCGTGGCTCCGTCTACAGCAGAACTGTGACAACAGCTGCTCTAGATCAATTCCGATCCGAGTGTCCAGACTCAGGTCGCATTTAAAATGATCCAATCTGCATCGGATTTGGACCACATATGAAAGAGGTCCAATTCCGAACTGGAAAAGATCAGATTCCATGTGACTTGGCCTGTTCACACAGTCATAAAAAGATCAGAGTCACATTAGCCTGCAGTCTGAATGTAGCCTTTGACATGACAAGACACAAAAAAACAAAAACACAGCTCATACCATCTCAGAGTAACGAAAAATTTTAGTGGTTTTTAAACTTAAACTTTTTCATAATGCTGCTAAGACTCCATTGAAGCAAGTTTGCCTGCCCATGCAACAAGCTGTACAGACAAATAGTGCAGCCGCTGGTTAAACAAAGACAAAATAAGAGGGCCCTCCAGACATACCGTCTTTCTGCATCAGGACACCACATATGGCCGTTATTCACAAGTACTATTTGCTCACAGGGAACATGCATTGCACACTGGCATGATCTCTTGGCACACCTAGTTGTTTTTTGGTTACACCTTCCTATCCTGCCATGTCTGCTATGACAAAGGTTTATACAGTTTTTCTGTGGTTGGGAGGGAAGAACACAACAACAACTAGTGTGTTGAGCTTTAAATGTCACTTGAGCCAAACAGGCTTGTTTGTACTCATTTCTAGCATTTGAACAAGTTTGAACACTTGATTGAGCAAAATTTCACAGCAATCATGTGTTACAGAAAAATGCAACATTCACAGTGATGTAGCCTATGAGACCAGATTTTCAGCACCAAAAGAACAAAATCCCTTCAAGACAGTCAAATCACATACACACATTTGTTCCTCACCTCCATTGTTTTGTCACAGCCGCCAATGTGCGTCTTGTTGATGAAGACATTAGGAACAGTCTTCTGTCCAGTCATCTCAAGCAACATCTCCTGGTAGTGGGTTCCATCCTCTGACAGAAGGGTAAATGTTGTTTAAATGCAGATTCATTATAATAAAATAATATAAAAAATAAGAAAAAGAACAGAAAAGCCAGTGAATTTACAAAATACATAGTTTTATGGCGAAACATCAAATTTCAACGCCATGCCACGAACACTGTCTTTAATGGATCCTAACAAGTTTTTCTTATTAGCATTGCACAGGTCTTCAGATTGCACTGCATAAATTTGAAGATCTGATCACATTTCTAGGTGGAGTTTGTTGAAGGACAGAGCCAATCAAAACCAACACATCATATTCTATGCCATGCCACAGACACCACGTCTGATAAATCATTAAATGCTTCTGAATGTAGCATCACAACCATCTTTAGAGTGGACAAATGTTAAGTAGATCAGATTTTATTTCTAGGAGGACTAGAAAGTACGGAGCCTTTAATGGCAAAAGATTTCTTAAAAAATAAAAATGTCTGACTTCCACTTGGGTTTTGGGTATGGCTCCAAGAGGTTGAATTTTATGTCTAGATATAGCATGAAAACAGATCCTATAAAGCTACAATGATAACTGGAATAAAGTACAGACACGTTTTCTGAACTTAGCAGGTAGTTCAACTTCCTTGCTTACTTTTCTCCAAGCAATCTCCTGTGTTGTTCGGTCTATACAAATATCAACAATACCCACAGAGCTCTGCCAGCTACAACAACAACAGTGGGGCTGGAAACAGGCAGCTCGCTGCTGAGAACCGCCAATGACGATACTGCAGGCACGTTATATCTTAATGAACTTCTCCTAGAGAATTAATCCAATTAACTTCAAATGTTCGCTGTGGAATGAAAAGAAAGCCAACAATTGACCCTTCGCTAAGCCACGCCCCGAATACACAGCTGGCCAATCACAGCGCAGTATGGGACTGTTGTCTTTTGTCTCAGTCGTCGGGGGATGTGGTGGTTCACTTGTACTGTGTGATTGGTAGGCTGTAGCTTCTTTAATTTTTTCACATCTGTTTTAGTCAGTTTGACAGCCTGAATACAACCTTCAAATCTATAATGCAATTGCAAAACTGTCTGCTTTTTTCTGAGATCGCTTCTTCCAACAAATTTGACAATATTTCTCCGGGGAGTGCAGTAATAGACAGTGGCAACGCAGACAGTTTGTCTGACTTATGCGGCATTCAGACCAAACGCAACGCTCTCCATCGCTGGACAACTGTGTTCACACAATGCGATAACGCGAAGAAACACAACTCGCCATTACTACAGCTGTATGAACCCAAAGTAAACATTTTGCTGTGATAAAATGGCAATAAACGGATCAAACTGAAATAACTACAGTATGACGCAGATTTTTTTAACATCTGAATTCGTACTTTGTCAGGTCTGTCAGCAGGACAACAAATGTTGGTTTTCTGAATGGAGTTTGGATCAATCAGGGCTATGCTATGCTAACTTTGTTACAGTAACATACAACGATAGCTGGAATAAAGTTACATAAACGTGTTTTCTGAACTCACCAGGTAGTTCAACCTCCTCGCTTTCTTTTCTCCCAGCAATGTCCTGTTTTATATGTTTTTTTTAATAAATATAAAGTAGTGCCAAACGACGCTAACAACACTGGAACCGGATGTGCACAGAAGCTAGCAGCTGAGAAGCTCGAGTGAAGATAAATCAACGTTGTAATCCCAAAAACTGTAAACTGGGTAACTGTAAGTAAAAAGCTAATTTAATAAAAGCAGTTTACTCTGAGCTCCTCCCGCGAGCAAACGGCGTAGTTGTCAGAGCAGAATCCAGTCCGACTACGTTTTTTTTGTCCAAAAGCTGGAGCGCTGCTCCCTGCTCCTCTCTCACAAGTTTAGCAGCTCTTTACAGGTGTCGTGCCAAAAAAGTGATCATCTGCCGAAAACTGATTGCCGTCTGCTGGAGCTGTATTGCCCAGTCTCTTCAATCACTTTCTGGCAAGTGAAATAGCCTACTGCATTTTTTGGATTGTATTGGCCATTTAAAAAGGTATTTTAAGAGGTAAAAAAGTACTAGGTGAGCTATAATCTGTCAAATATAACTCTACTAAATCAACTAATTTCAGGGCAGAAATAACCTTTCAGTCAATAAAAGGCTTCACAAATTTTCTGGCAAGTGAAATACTGAGACCTGGGTTCGATTCCCACTGTGAGACATCCACCATGAGTCCCTGAGCAAGACACTTAACCCCTAGTCGCTCCAAAGGCGTGCAACCTTTGACGTGTATAGCAATTGTAAGTCGCTTTGGATAAAAGCGTCAGCTAAATGAATAAATGTAAAAAGGTATTATAACAGGTAAAAAAGAGTGGATTGGTTGGTAGGCCTACACAGCAAGTAAAACAATGCAGAGTCATAAGGATAATTGCAATTGATAATTGGCAGTAAGTCATGTTAATTAGGCTACAGCCCGTTTTCCAAATATAAAGAAAGATATTACACATAGGCCTACCAAACATCACAGAAAGCTCACTTCGTTTTTGGTCTGAAAGCACCATTAGCAACAGTAACTAAGGTGGGCAGGGCTTATTGAAGGGTCAATTCCTTTAATATCTCTACATTTGCTCTGAATACCTCTGTTTGTTTTAAGTACAGTACCACCTTACTGAGTAACAGATGATACACAAATGATATGCAAAAATAATACATGGTGAAGAATGACATAACAAAATGTGTTTACCACTGAGTTCATAATTTTCTGTATCAGCAAACCTCCGAGTCTCCATCTATGCATGGCCACTTACTGCTAGTGCAGACAGGCTGTGCTCAAATAGCATGATTTTCAAAAAGGTGTCTGTAGTCAGTTTAACCCATGGTTAAGTCTGTTTACTAGTCAAAGTTTACTAGCAATACAAAGCAGCACTGTGCAGTATAATATTCCCGCTAATTTAGGCCGAAGATCAGATATGGCACAAAGCCAAGCTATCTTCAGTGAGTGACTCAGCACGTTTTGTGTTCTGCAAAGGAAGACCACAGCACAGTCTCGGGTAACGCAACATTCCTGCTATATGATGAAGGACAATTTTCAAATGTGTTGGCAGAAAACTGTTTCAAACTCAACCATGTAGGCAAGTAGTACAAGATGAGATAAGGGGAAGTCATCAAAACACAGGTGAAAAAACATCCATGAAAAAGACAAAGCAAAAACTAGGCAAAATAGACACAAAATTACCACACAGAAAAAAGAAATATAGGTACATGCACCTTTTTATAACACAGGCATAGTGGGTAGGGGAAACAAACACTAAATAAACAAGTGATTAGTATACACCAAGAAAGATGCAAACATTTTTCCCCTGACATTATCCAGCAACCATGGCCCCACTTGCTTTTTCCATTATGCCTGAACATGCGTTATTAATGTACATTAAAATTATAACTTTTCCTATGAATATACATTTTATATTACGACTTAGAGGTGAATAAATAGTTTTTTTTAAATCAATATTGCGACTTGAAAGAGCACAATTAGCTAATCGTGAAGACGGCGATTAAAAATGTAGGTTAAATATACATCTGACCCGTTTCAAACAGTCATGTAGTTACTAATTCATTCAGTCGTCATCCTTGTATGACAGACTTGCTCCCAAATCACAAGCGCCATCCGCCTCCTGTTATGGTCCTAGTCGCCAATCAGAGCGGGTGCAGGGCGTTTACGTCACGTTTACCTAGGCTATATTATCATTCTGTTTATACAGCAGCCTCCATTATGGGTTATAGTTATCAAACATTAACACACAGACTTGCAACTACATTATAGGCTGTTATTAAACATTTATTCAATGTTCCACTGCTTATAAATGCTAAATATGCAGAGTATTACCAATTTTAGGGCTGAAAAATTCATTGAAATTTGACCAAAATCGCAATATGGCCTACTGTTAATTTAAAAACGCAGGATGCTAGGGATGTGACAAGAGCAGATACTTCGGTACCAGGTCGATACTGAAATTCTAAAAACATGTGTGTACTCATTTTGCTAGGAACCAGAGGTACCGAAGATCCAACACATGGAATAGCAAGTGCAGCTGCCATGACAGCTCCGCCTTGACTAGTTGAATAGAAAAGAGATGGAAAGCCAAGTGATGTTACTTTTATGGCCGTTACCTTCAACAGCTCATGTCAAAGCCTAGATTTCTCACAGTTTTCGCAGCGCTAAGAACTCAAAAGTCTGTCCAACACTCCTGTTACTGTTGGCAGAGTTAGGGACCGTCTCAAAAGTGCAATACAATCCACTTCAATCATCAATAACTTTTAACCCCCCCCCCCAATATAAAAATTAAGTAATTTAATACTTAAATATGCACAGTGCAAGGTTGTAATTTCAATGGCTTGCTTATTTATGAACAAACTGACATCAAATCCCCCCTCGTAACTTCCACAGTGGTTAGTTTTTTTTCTAATTCAGTGTGTTTATTAAAAAAAGTGTATGTTGAAGAACATGGGATTTTTGGTAGCGTTTGTATTTTTTACCTTGGTATCGAATGGGCTACTAAATTTCTGGTATTGTGACATCCCTACAGGAGGCACATTAGGCCTATTTATTAAAGGGCGTTTTAAATGATATATTGTGTGCTGCAGAGATATCCTGGCCTACATATCATATTCAAGAGACTTTCGATGATGTTAACCTGCCATTTAACATTTAAAAAAACAAACAAAAACAAAACCACATCTTACCGATTAGATCCAACTCCACCACATTGCACTCGACATTCAGCTCTTTGAACAAGTCTTTCACCTACAAAAGACAGAGATGTGAAAATGTACATCTCCTGACATTGTATTCTTCTCCAAACAGACACACCAATAACTTGAAAACACCCTTTCCTATTAGCCAATATTCACTTAACATTGCGCTATTGCAGAACATTGAAATACAACACATTCATCATTTAAATTAGTCAAAATACAGGTTTGTGTCAATAAAACCATAACTACAACCCTGTTACTTGTTAGCTAAGCCCATCTGTGTCTAACTTAGGTTAGTGGAATTTTGCCATAAGAAACTATTAACGTTATGTATAAATGAAACAGTAATGTGAGCCGAACGGACAGTGCGTATTCTAGGTTAGGTCTAACAATTACTAGGTGTTAAGTTAGCTATGAACTAGAAAATATGAAACCAACTTTTCTCAGAAGAGCGACCACATTCAGATAACGTTAAGCACGTTTGGTCTCCACCAAATGTCGATTTAACGGTAATTATGTTTAACGTTTTGATACAAATTTTCAAGCTAACGTTACAAACTCCAGCCAGAATAAACGTTCTGCCCTCATTAACTTAGCAAGGATACCCAGCAATTAGACCAAGCCCGTGTAAGTTATTTTGCGGTAGAAGATGGCAGTTTCCGACCGGCGTTAACTTTAAGCAAGCTCTCCCCCTTCCACAAAAATAAATACCTTACCTTTACACAATACGGACAGTAACTTTTGCTGAAAACCACCACTTGATTGGAGTCAATAAGCTGTTGTATCCGAGATTTGAGTTCATTTTTCCCGGTGTCATTTTCGATGGGGGGCATTTTCAGTTGTTTCCGTCTGCTGCCTGCGCAGGGCAAGCTTCGGCTGACTAGGGAATTAACAAAAACGCAGTTACACAGCACCAACTCCCTCTCTTAGTCAATGTACGAATATCTCTACGTGTCACTGTCCTTTTTCCAAGAAAAAAACAGAAAGCAATTGAGCCGCACGTTTTGACCTCAGTAGTTCCTCTCCCTCCGCTGGAAGCAGTTAGTTTACCAGCCGCGCCAAACGTCCCTCACCATTTCTTGCCTTGCTACTTTGGGTGCACGCGATCTGAGTCACCCTGTTTGCCGCATATTCCGTTGCTCACCATTGTCAAGAGGCAGAACTCCGCCCACACGGTCTGTGCCGTGCTTCAAAATGCATCTACCCACAAAACGTCACAGGGTTGCTATTTACATGCCGTAAAACACGATAACGTTTATTCCCCCCGACTTATTCTTATTAAAACCAAAGTATTTAATCAGACGCGTGTTTAGATAAAAAAAAAAGATCTGACTAGGTGGGCTAAGATTACAGAAATATGGGGGCCTACAGGCGCCTCTGAAAGAAAACTTATCCTAAATTAAGAAAGAAGTCAAGCGAAGAACAGGGTGGATGTATTAACATTAAATATTGATAGCAACAGAAGGTAAAGTCGATCATTGATCATGTGGTACGTTAACTCTGCTTGTCTGAGTGTCCGGTTGGTCCATGAGCAAACAGTGGGTTATATATTGCCATCTGCCGGTGAAAGCAGTCTATTACAAGTGACAAGTTTTCTGTATGTCAGTGGCTCTCTAACATTTTCAGATCAAGGACACCTAAAGTGACACAAATTAGACCACAGACCCCCATTTTATAAGATTTTGTGCAAGTTGCCCCATCTAATTGTATTTTTGCTTTTAGATGTTTTATTACAGAAAGTGTATAAAACCTAGTAGTCATAAATTCTGTCTTTGTGTTATATATAATAAACTGTTCCCCTTTGTGCTGGGGTCTCCGTGGTATATATTCCAAGCTACTTTTAACTACTACTCAAATCGGTCACTTATAAACTAAATGTAGCCTACCTTATGTAATAGTGATGGGAAATTAAAAAAATCATTGAAGCTAGGGCAGGCAATTTCTATAAGAAGCATGTTTTGTTATGTTTTTGGAAATTCTCTTTACATCTTTACATCCTGAAAGCAATCAATAGATCAAAACGGTATCTGTGGCTGTGGCAGGACTGTAATAAGCGTGTCCAATAATTGTATTACGAATTGGGGGGGGGGGGCTGTCTACATCATATTAATCTAAATCCATAACCCCCAAACCACAAAAAGTGAGTAATTGTTTAAGAAAAGGGTCTCTCTGACTTAGTATTGCACAAGAGACAGGTTAATGAATGATTAAAATGAAAGTAGCAGAGATATCCTAGTCCCTAATATGGGCTCTGAAAACGCCGGCTCCTTCCTACATCTCCCATAACGCTACTTGACAGCATCTTTTGTTAAGGCCTTTTCAGACATGACATGATTTCCTCTGTGCTTGCTGTTGGGTTCAGCACACTGTGCCCCAAAGATCAGTCATCATCAGTTGTGGTGCAAGCACGGGAGCGGTGCACTGCTGGGTGTCAAGCACTTTATTCAATGCAATGAAAAGCGCAGTGGCATAGGCAGCTTTAGCTATGCTTCACCCGTTGGTATTGAAACGGGCCCTGGCCTCCATAGGGCCCCGACTGTCACGCAAGAATTTAATTATTCACCCACTTTTAAAAATAACTACTTATTTAACTCACTGTGTGAAGACATGGGCATGGAAAGTTGCTGCAACCACCTCAGCACCCCTAAAACCAGATCAGTTGATAAAAAAGTGTGGCGCAGACTCGCAGGTGTGTGTGTGTGAGAGAGAGAGAGAGAGAGAGAGAGAGAAAAAGAGAGTTCATGTGGACAAGAGAGAAGGAGTGTGACAGACAGGACCAGACATGTGAACATGAAAAATTTTCTTTGATCATAAAGCCTAATGTAACTCTACAGTTCTGTGGTTTATCAGTGAAGTGTCTGAACTACACTACAGACTGGCGGATCAAACCACCAATTGTACAATTACTGGGTAACCTGCTCTAACCCCTGAGCCACAGACGCCCCATATAAAGATTTACCTTCTCTCTACATCCCTATGTGAGGCCGGCACACTTATCCCTCTCTGACATATTTCTCTGGCTTAATTTATGTTAGCAAACGATGTGGGCTTTGTAGATTATTGGCGGACTTTCTGGGGAAGACCTGGTCTTATTATGAGAGACAGCAGTCATTCCACTTTAGATGGAGCAGCTCTCATATCTAGAAATCTGGCAGAGTTTATTAGTGGACCAAATCCAAGGCAGAATCACAGTCTCAACACGTTTCTCTGCACTTCCATTTAAGCATTTACCAGGATTTAGAGTGCATCATGGTACAGAGACAGCACTAGCGAAAATTACAAATGACCTTCTAAGTGTATAAAGGACTTTCCCCTGTACTTGTCCTGTTAGATCTTTGTGCTGCATTCAGTACCACTGACCATAATATTTCTATTACCGCTATAAGCTGGTTTAAGTCTTATTTTTCAGATCGATCTCAGTTTGTACATGTTAACGATGAATCCTTCATGCACGCCAAAGTTAGTCATGGAGTTCCACATAGATCTGTGCTTAGACCAATCCTCTTCACTTCCTTTAGGCAATATTATAAAGAAACACTCCATAAACTTAAGTTGTTGCAGATAATAATCTAACAATTAAGCCAGATGAAACTAATCAGTTAGCTAAACTTCAAGCACGCCTTTAGGATGTAGAAACCTGTAATTTTCTTGTGTTAAACTCAGATAAAACTGACATTATTGTATTGGGGCCCAAACTCCTCTGAGATGCATTATCTAAAGATATAGTTACTCTAGATGGCATCACCCTGGCCTCCAATCACGTTGATTGGTCCCTCCCTGCCTTGCTGCTTCAGACTGCATTCTCCTGATTGGTGTCGGGGAAAATAATAAAACACATGCCCAGAGTGTTGTGTTCTCAGTGTAGATCACACAATTTAATGGAAAGTGGGGCTAATGGCCTGTAGCCTTAATATGGAGGAGAAACAGGCGCCTTGGTGCCCACCAGCTATTGGAAATTGTCATCACTCAAACTGCTGGTAAAAGTAACCACGGATCAAGTGGTTTTCAAAGAAAAATGGATAGCAGTTAGCATACAAAAGAACTCTTCTGTTTATATGTCTGCCATTAGGTGGAGATGGTACTTGGTCGAGAACGGGTTACAAGGATTTGAAATATCGTTCTGAGAGGACTGCAAAACATGAGACTAGCCGGAGTCATCTGGAGCATGCTGTAAAATTGGGCTTACTTGGAAGGGTAAATGTTCCTGCCCAAATTGACAACATACAGTTTAAATTTCGATTCTATTCAATTTTATTTATATAGCACCAATATAGGCAACACAGGCACTCTATTGAGCAGCATAACAAACAGGTGGAGGAAAACAGGTACGTGCTCAGTTGGATCAAAACATGTATTAAACTTTGTGGAAAATGTGAAACAGCACTGAGGGGCCACAGCGAAAATTCAGATGCATTTTCAAGACTATGTTTAAGGGTAATTCGAGGCTTCAGAGGCACTATGACGCTCAGCGCATCAGTAAAGGGACATCCAGCACTGTACAGAATGAAAAAATAATCATAAACAACACGTATCAGAGTCAGAGAGGAATTTTTACACCTTGAAGAGGATAAAAACGTACACTCTCAATAGGCTACGATGGGACAGCCGAAACCAGCTGATTCAAAAAACCTGCCGTGCCTCCTCAAGTGAGCCCTTAGCTTTAGTGAGTGAAAGCATATTACATTTGCCTTTATGGTGATGGTCCATGCAATGGCCATTTTGTTGTGCTGAACTGATTAATATAGATGGTGACATGTGTCAGTGTGTCCATGCTTATCCATTATGGTTGTTATCACGATGTTGTCATAGAATGGATCTGTAGCTCTAAAAAGTTGTCTGTGTGCTTCGTTGTGGCCATTCATTTGTTCTGAGCTTGGTTGTGTTGGCTTTATCATCCTTGAAATTTGCTTAATGCGAGACTTAAACGACATGTCCTGATCAAAGATAACTCCAAGATTCCTCACAGTGGTGCTGGAGGCCAGGCCGATGCCATCCAGGGAAACTATATCTTTCGATAAGACGTTTCGGAGGTGCTTGGGCCCCAATAACTTCAGTTTTCTTCAGAGTGTAACATTAGAAAATTACAGGTCATCCAGATTTTTACAACCTTGAAGCCACATTTGAAGTTTAGCTAAACGACTAGTTTTATCTGGCTTGATCGATATAATTGGGTATCATCCATCAGTGTTTCCTGATAATATTGCCTAAAGGAAACATATATAAGGTAAACAGGATTGGTCCCAGCACAGAACCAGCTTAGAGCGATTCTTTTAATGCCAATGAAATGTTCCAGTCTCTGTAACAGGATCTGATGTTCAATGGTATCAAATGCAGCACTAAGATCTAATAAAACCAGTACAGAGACAAGTTCTTTGTTTAATACAATCAGGAGGTCACTAGTAATTTTCACCAGTGCTGTCTCTGTGCTATGACAAACACCTGACTGAAAATCATCAAATAAACTCTTGCTCTGTAGAAAGTGACACAATTGTTTGGCGACTGCTTTTTCAAGGATCTGAGAGGGAAATGGAAGGTTAGATCTAGGTCAATAGTTGCTAAAAAAAAAAAAAAAACCTGAATAAAGAGTGAGATTTAAAGATTAAACCAGATTCTTCCAGATTGTTGGAATTCCATTTCCATTAAATCCAGAATAGAATTTAAAATCTTTCTGCTCCCCCCTGTATGCAGGATAAGCGGTTGACGATGGATGGATCCTTCTGCTCACCTAGAGAGCTGGCTCAGGTGAGTCCTGAACCATCCCTTTGTTATGCTGTTATAAGACTATCAGGGGACTTCCCATGATGCACTGAGCTCCTCTCTCCTCCTCTTTCTCTCCCACTGTATGCAACCATATCCCATTAATGCATGTTACTAACTCGACTTCTTCCCTTTCCCGTAGTCTTGTGCTTTCTCGTCCCTCTCCTCCTGTCACTTTCTGCAGTTGTGTCTAGCTCTGGAGCTGTGGATCTGTGGCTGCGAGTGACCTGCTGCCGCCGTGTTCCTGCACAAAATCCGCTGCTACAATTATTTCTAGTCCTATTATTTTGATTTTATCATTGATATTACTGTTACAATCAGTACCATAATTCATTTTCTGTACCAGGACCAGGAGCAGGAATACTACACTCCAGTGGCGTCGTATTATTTTTTCAACCTAATTGTTGTCTCATTTGTGGTTTGATAAACAGTAAATTCATTAAATTCAATGCACCATAGCGCTATTTTTCAAGCTAAGTTATTGTAGCTATCATAGCCATTGAGCACACCAGCAAGAGGATGAGGTGATGCGGCCAACATGTAGGGAGCTATGATTACATGTATGATGGATTGTCCCCTATTAAATAGCATTATAGTATTTTAATACTCTACTGTTGTAAAAGTTATTGTGAATTAATTATAATAATAATACATTATATTTGGGTGGCACGGTGGTCCGGTGGATAGCACTGTGGCCTCACAGTTAGACGGTTGAGGATTAACCCACCGGCCAAAGACATGCAGCCTAGGTTGATTGGTGACCCTAAATTGTCCTTAGGTGTGGGTGTGAGCGTGACTGGTGGTTTGTCTATGTGTGGCCCTGCGATGGATTGGTGACCTGTCCAGGGTGTACCCCGCCTTTCGCCCAGTGTCAGCTGGGATTGGCTCCAGCCCGCTGCGAGGATGGATGGATGGAATTATATTTATAGGCGCCTTTGAAAACAATTAAGGTCACCATTCAAGACAAAATGAAACAACAGTATAGCAATAAATCAATAAAATTAACATAAAATTCATTGATATTGATTAACTGTTTAATATTTTCTTATTGAATTGTTAAAATTGTATTTATTCACTGTATGATTACACACTCGCACTGATGACAAAAAGTTACTTAAGTTATAGAAAACAGAATTCAGAAAAATAAAAAATAAAACTGGCTTAAAGACATAGGAGTTAAAATAGAGGTTGAATAGAGGTTCTGAAGCAACTGAACATTAAAGCATGTAAACATTTTCTAGTAGACACCCAAAATAAGAACCTGAAAATGGGACCTTTAATGTACGCAAATGTTTTCTAAAATGTATGACTCATGGTTAAAGTCATTTGTGTCAACCAGCCCCATCAGGTATGGTAGGGCCCCACATTTTGAAACAGGCCCCCAGATTCTTAAGGTTGCCACTATGCAGTAGTGCCGTTGCTGCGTTGTGTCTGAAAAGGCCTTTAGACTCCATGTGCCTAATCTGTTAAAAAATATCAGACTCCACTTCCTTCCACTGTACAAAAATGAAAACAAAATATCCCGGTTACAGGCACTGGTGACGACATTTAGAGAGTCTGCGCAGCTGTGATCAGGGTTGGAGCCACGGTTTTGAGGTCCCAACCATACACCCAGCTGACTCAATCACGAGCAGGGCTCAGCTGTCAATCAGGATGGGAAATCATCTTAGAATCAGAATCAGAAAGAGCTTTATTGCAAAGTAGTATTTTACACATAGGAGGAATTTGCTTTGGTGCTAAGGTGCTACACGTAGACAAACATACAGTTGACATAAATAAATGTAGAAATATAAATATATGGAATAAACAAATGCAAGTTATATGAGAATAATAAAATAATAAAAGAACAATACAACTAAGTGCAGAGACCGAACAACGTGGCAGATATTTACATGTGCAGACGTGTTGCAGCAGAAGAGGATATTAAAATAAAGCCTGCACATCCAGCTATCTCACCTACTGCATCTGATGAAAGCAGCCGGCGGCTCCGCGAGTAAAATCAGCTGATGAAATTGTGAATGAAAGCTGCTGCTGCACTAAATAAAGCTATGGATTTATATGATGGCATGCAGTGATCGATTGGTGAAGATGTGACTTGCAAATAAAATGTATGCAGTAGTGTTAAAGGATATCAGAAGAGGAAATAAATGGAAAGCCTAAAACTGAGCGTCGAATTTGACGAGTAACATAATTTCCCTGACACATTTAGCCTAATAAATCCAAATACACCATGATCATATTCTGGGTTATTCAATAACAAATTCACACTCAGAATCAATAAATATAAATGCATGGATGATGGTGTTGAAGGCAGAGCTAATATCCACAAACAGGATGCTGATGTAGGTTCCTGGGGAGTCCCGGTGCTAGAGGATGAAGTGAAGGGCCATGTTTACTGCATCGTCTACAGACCTGTTGGCTCAAGCATACAGTACATCAGCATCTAAAATGACACAAATCAGAATGGGAATTTATTTGAGGTATAGGCAGCCCAAAAAAAGGTAACAGCAAGAGATTTTGACACTGATAGAGGAAAACACTGGAACACGCTAAATCTCAGTTTCACTCAAAGATCGAAATTCAATCAGTTATTCCTCCACTTTGACACGTAAAAATACAACTGGTGCTGCAGTTACCAAATTATAGGTGCATGAGTGAGGTCAACAGAAAGTGTTCGCTCCCAGGCTCCCCCGCCGTCAAAGCACAAAGACAAGGTGAACAAAGAAAGGAAGCAAATATACCACTATCACTTCCGCCCAAACTGCGTGAACACGCCCTCCACCTATAATATCAGTGCAGTGAATAAAATTACTATGAGATCATGAACATCCTATATGTACTTTTGATTTTTTTGTTTGGCCTATGTCCCATCCACCAAAAGCAGTTTGTCCACTAATGAGTAGTTTGATCCGTGGTTCCTCCAGTCTCCATGTTGAAGTGTCCATGGGCAAGATACTGAGTCCCAAATTACTCCCAATGGCTGTACACAGTGTAAAAGCTAGAAAAAAACATTATAGAAGAGATCAAATCCGGCTCATTTAGCCATCATTTGTAAAAAATATTATGTATGTAAATAATAATACTGCATGTTTGCATGTATAAAAGGACTCATGTCTTTCAGTACATGACAATCACTCCACCTTACTTAAGGACATTCCCTTAACTGACTGCTGGGTGGGTTTGACACAGGCAGGTGTTTGCTGCTCAAGAGACAACACATTTGTTGATCCCGTTTCAGTTGTGTCCTGAATTATACATATAATGTTTGACATTGAATGAATTTAAAATATAATTTTTCAAGTCAAGAAAGCTGCAGTTGAGCACTGCAGAGCCATGGCCTTGGACCCCTGGGCCATTCAGAAATCCATCCATGCCTACATTTTAGCAGTTTGTATGAAGGTCTAACCCTTAGTTTTACATCTACATTCTATGTACACCTTTTGTGGCTTTCCTCTCAAAGAAATTTACACATTATTTTAGTCAATATAATAAATACATGAGGTTGTGACACTATGAGTTAAGGACACAGGTTCAATCAGTTAGATTTCTAAGATTTAAATTCAGTAGTAAGTAACATCCTAACTGAAAATCCACCTTGATGAGAGAACTTGACACATTGCATTTTCATTTTCAAATTTGAACTAACTTTTTAATATTGTCCACTGTACATATGATCTGTGGACAACCCATACGAGTTATGTGAAAATGAAAATGCAAATATATACATATTTCATATGTGGAAAATTATAATGCTATTGTGGAAATTTTTTTTCAAGTTTATATTTTCATTTTAATATAGTCCCCTGTAGGCTTCCATAAAACAGCGTGGTAAATGTAAATGCAATAGTCCTGAGGCGCTGTTTCACTTATTGCATTTAGTGTCCACTGGACACCAGGTTATGTCCTTGAAAATGAAAACATGAAATAGGGTCCCCACACTGTGGGTCCCTGAAGTGCAGTTTTATTGGTATAGCCAATAAAGATCCAGGTCCCATCAGTCTTTTATATCTGATTTATGAGTTCTTTGAGGCACATTGAAGGCAGCATTTTAGCAACTACAGCTAATGCGTGGCACCACTGTTTACGTCACGTTGCTGAATCAGGGAGGCATCATCAGAAATACGCAATCTATGCACATCATTTCCAGGTGAGTGTTAGGTGCCTTCCAGCGGAGAGCGGGTGGGAGCGGAGTGTTGTTTTGCAATTTTGCACACGTTGTTTAATTACGACACTCGGGAAAAGCTCTCAATAATTCCTTTAACAAGTTTGAACAGGACAGCAGACTCCGACTGACGTGAAGGACTCAGTTCCCGACGTTTAACACTTTGTGTGTGTGTGTGTGTGTGTGTGTGTGTCCAAGAACCGGAAGCCCACTATACTTGTGGGGTCCGACAGCTTTGTGGGGGACAAAAAGTTTGGATCCCACATGTTTAAAGGGCTTTTTGAGGGTTTAAACGGTTAGAAACTGGGCTAGGGAATGCATTATGTCAATGAAGGGTCCCCACGAAGATAGTGATACGTGTGTGTGTTTGTGTGTGTGTCTTGACACTTGCTCCTCCTCCATGCCTTGAACTGAAGTCGCAGTTGAACCCTGTGAGGCAGTTCTCTAGAGGAAGCAGACGGGAGGCGGCCTGCGCTCAGTGAGGAAAAACAGAGAAAATTGACGATGGCAGATAATAAGATGGGCCCAAATCTCCAGGCTGGGGCTGGATTCCTCGCCAAACGGGTCCAGAAGTCTTTGAATCGAGCTCAGGAGAAGGTGAGCCAGGGAAATCAACTATGTAAAGTAGTTACATTGAGTCTTTATAACTCTTAAAACCACTAGAAGCATTGTCATCAGTTTGATAAGCCAGACTTACTGAAGCACGTCTGGTCATCCAGCTTTATCTTTGCTGGTGGAAACCTAGAAACTCAGTAGGAGCCCTGACCTGCTAGTTAACAGACTTTTCTTCAGAATTACTCTGATTTCTATGGAAACAGTATGCTTCTGATTTGATTTACAACAAGGCTTCCAAACAAGCAGCTCTTTCAGAGGATTGTTTTAATATAGGGGTTATTAACCGTTATAGAAATGGTCAAATGAATGTGCATGAATAGTTATTCTTTTGCAATATGCTCCATAGCTACTGTTACTTGAACCCTGATGTCAAGCTCTGTACAAAGGTTTAACTAATAATGAAATGCTCCCATGTGAGAGGACATGCTGGACCTCGTCATAACAAAGTGTAAGAACCTGTGATACTGACATAAGGGAAAAGGAAACGCTCTTCACACAGACCATTTAATGTACAAGACCATAAACATGCTTTTATAGTCTTGTGCTTTTTGTCAACTGTGTGTTTTTAAACAGTTTACATTTGAATGATTGCCCATTTGGTTGTTAGCCTGCGTTAATAAAAAAAGTAGCTTGGACTGGTCTGAACATCACAGCTGTGTGCGGTCACACAAGCTGCCACTTCCTGGCTGTGCACTTCCTCTCACTTGCTGAGCCTCAGTTTGTGTTTGACTTGTTTGAATTTGCTACTCCACCTTAAAACAGACAGAAGTTGCAATAGTGGAGCCTGTTTTAGGGAGTAAGGTGTTTTTATTTTAGTCTAAAGGAGGATAGATATGATAGCTAACGAGAGTCTTTATAGTAGATTTAAAGGTGATGTTATAATGTATTCAGGCTTTCAAACAGCTGCATGCAGTGGACTGGGAAGAACACTAATAGTTAGCCATGGTAACATTTACCCACTATGCAACTTCACTGCCGACAGTTCAATTAGAGATTTGGATGTTTTATGCTAATAGCAGCTAATGTAGCCTGGAGCTGCTAGCCCTCAGCAGAAATTAGTAGTGGGCTACAGAGGTATAGTAAATTCACTTTTCTACACCTACCAGTTTTTTTTTTTCCATTTTCAACTTGTATAGTCTTCAGCCCCAAGCAATGCTGACTCAAGTGACATCACTCGAGTAAATTTTTCAGATTTTGTTCCCTTAGAGCCACAGAAGGATTGCTTTTTGCAAAATTGGGGGAATTCCCCTTTAATTAGTCTAGCTCTAGTAATCATTAATGCTAGTAATTTACTTACTGACTCTGCTGAACCCTCTCTCAGGTCCTTCAGAAACTGGGAAAAACCATGGAGACCAAGGATGAACAGTTTGAGCTAAGTTTCCAGAGCCTCAACAAACAACAGGTACACCAACACATAATCTTTTTACCATGAGAGGGTCTCTCTTCATGGTGCTCCTTTGCTATTCACTGCAAGACTGAAATAAAGGTCATGTAAACTCTTTGCTTTAATCTGCTTTTATAGCAAGTCAAGTGGAGCACTGTTACATCTTAAAAAAAAAACATTAACAAAAGAAGACAGTTTCGTTATTGCTGTTGAGATGCCAACCTACGAGTTCAGACAGTCAGCTCAGACTTGAAAACAGGAAATACTTGAAACAAGATGCAGCTCTCTTATTTTCTTATCCATTCTGCCTAGTAACTGTTTATTCAATTAAATTGTATTTAGACTGCGCCAGTTTTATAACAGAAGTTATTAAGGAGGAAAGAGAACATACAGTAGCACAATCCAAGTTCCACACAGACATGTAAAATGATGGTAGTGATAGTGAATATACAAATAGAAAACTTCACACTTGTAATAGTAACAATGATAGCAACAATAGTAGGACTAATAATAATTGTAGGAGCAGGTGTCGCGCAGGCACACGGGCACAGTAGGTGACTTGCAACCACAGATCCAGACACAAAGCAACAAAGGGAGAGAGATGAGAAAGCACAAAACGACAGTAGAGGGAAGAAGTTGAGTAACATACATTCATGGCATTAGAATGCATTCAAATGAAGAGAGAGAGGACGGAAGAAGTGCCTATTGCATCATGGGAAGTCTTCCAGCAGTCTAGAACTATACCAGCATAACTCAGGGATGGTTCAGGACTCACATGAGCCAGCTCCAACTATGAGCTTTATCAAAGAAGAAAGTCTTAAGCCTAATTTTAAATGTGGAGAGTGTGTGTATGCCTACTGAAACCTGATTCCACAGGAGATGAGCTTGATTAGCTGAAGGCTCTGGTTATGTCTCCTGAAAGAGCGTCCACGTCCTGCACACGTCCTCACAAACTAATAATTTGTCCCAGTTTTAGTCTTGGAAAAGATTTAAAGCGAGACCATGTAACATTTGAAAGAGGAAATAACACAATCTTCCTTATGCAAGTGAAAAAGCAATAAAATGCACCCTCCGTGTAATACACTGGTATTGTTGCTACAGACTTTCTATGGTATGACCATTAGCTTTGTGTGCTAATGTTAGCTAATTTTAGCAAAACTTCAGATTATATTGCTTTATATTGGAAATGACTGAATCACTGACATTATGCCATATTTCTATTTCTGCTACTGTAACACTATGTTTCTAGTAATCATTCCATAATTCATTCATGGCCACAATTGCTGCTGTATGGCAAAAGTTAGATATATGTTTAAGTTGCTCAAAGGTCATTTAGTGTCAAATACAGCTACTACAGTACATATTGGAGGGAAACTGACAAGGAGCAACAGGAAGAAAGTCTACATGCTTACCAGATGCGCTGCTTTCACTTAACCACCACTTTCACCACATCAAATGTTTTGATTGTTGTTTCATTTAAAGACAACAATGTGGTCAGATAGTGAGGTGTTGGGGCTAATATGAAGTTTGCTGTCAACAGAATCAGCCTGCAGTCCAACAGAAGCACACAAATTTCATCATTTGAGCTTGTTAAGGAAATGATGAAGCTCAGATTGCCATAGAGATAGTGTTACTGGGTGTGAATTTAACTTCTTTGAATTTTGTGCTTTTTGTTTCTGCACACAGGTCGATGGAAGTAGGTTGTTCAAAGATGTCAAAGCCTACCATACAGCAGTGAAAGGTAGGTTTTTAATGCATATACAAACACAAAGTGCAGTATTAACAGAACACTACCCAGGCGAGTTGGTGAATAATGGGGAAGTGAATTTATTTCTATTCTTGGATCCTGTGTGGACTGAAGTGAAAACAAAAGACTCAGCATTGGATATGTGATTCATGTGCAGGAAACCGTTGTGTTTCTAGTGTTGTCAGCTTTGCTTCTGCATCGTGAACTGCAGTTAGCAAACCAAGCACAGGAGAGCGGTGCCGCTCATGCAGCGGTTAATGCTGATAACGTCAGTGTTGTTGCAGAAGCGTAACGTGGTGCTGTTAACATCATAAGCATGGCTAGTATTTCCATTTACAGACATTTTGGCTCAGTCACCTCCATGTGTTTGCTTGTAATGTCAGAGGTGACAGCCCTGTGCAGGCAATCCCAGCCCAGACAAAAAAATGGCAACCACAACGCTACGGCATCCAGACTGACAGTCTTCCAGGCTAACTGACCCGCAGCCTGCTAGAGTGAGCGCTTCCTCATCGCTCACAGCCCCATCCTTTCAGCAACATGTATCAGAACTCTCGCCCCATCCCCACCGAGAGGGCGGCCTTGGAAGGGGAAGCAGCTGCGCTCCTCCGAAAAGGAGCTCGAGGTGCAGACAGGCTTCTTCTAACCACATTTCCTAGTGCTCAAGAAATCGGGAGGGGGAGGTGCAAAGACCCATACTGCACCTACATCCTACAAAAAAAGCATGCTGGGATACCTGGCGATGCTACAAAGCTGGCGGTGTATGGACAGCATACAGGAAGGATGGCGAGTTGGTGTGCACTCCGTGGTGCGCGTGGGCCTGCTGCTCATGAGAAACCTACAGCACCGGTTTGCCCGGCTCCGGCTGCACCTGGGCTCAGACCAGCAATGCGAGCTCTGCTTCTCCTCACTGGCAGAGGGACCGAGTTTGGTGCGTCATGGTATGGAGTTTGTGAGGGTTAGACTGAGCAGCCTGGGCCTCCCACCTGCGGTCGTCTCTGTTATTCAAAACGCATGTCCCGTCCACCTCCAGGGCCTACTCTGCTCATTGGTGGGCGTTTTCTGGTACGTTAGACTGGTGCAAGGCCTGGGAGCTCATGGTGTTTGTGCACCATGCAGAGCATTCTGTTAAGAAGTCTTGCTGCATCCATGTTGTTGTTGTTTGCAGCAGCTATTACGGCAGGCCACAGTGTGTCCTTTTAAATGGTGTTGGTCAGCCTTGTGGATCTGCCTCTTGTAGGTCTGTGCAGATTTATTTTTGGCCTACAGTTTCCTGTTCCTTTCCACAGCTGTGCATGAGACATCCAAGCGGCTGTCCCAGACTTTGCGAGACATCTATGAATCAGACTGGAATGGAGTGGAGGACCTTGCTGTCATTACGGAGGTTTGTCTATCATGTGTTTTTGTGAATGTTTGCTCGAACAGTAATCTGATATGGGTTATTTTCAAAAAAAATTTATTTACCAAGCAAGTTTAGAGAAGCTAAATATAAAAATACAGTGGTCTCCATTTAGCCAACAGGCATATACATTAGAGTTTTTTTCCACACACGTGTTTGACATGTGATGGCCTTACAGATTATGAAAATAATCAATAGTTGCAGACCTATAGATGCTAATTTACAGCAGCTATCAAGCCGTGGTGATGGCAGTGCTTGCAGGTGAGGCAGCCAGTAGCTCCCTCAAGCATTTTTGTTTTAATAAGTTTCATTACTGAAGCACGTATTAACCATGGAAGCATGTAGAAAATTAGAATATTGTGAAAAGATTAAAACAGAAAATGCCTGAAATATTTCACTTTATATGTAATACATGTAGAATATATGAAAGTTTCACATTTTGAATTAAATTAAGGAGAAAAAGGAACCTTTTCACGATATTCTAATTTCCTGCCATGCACCTGTAGTACCTACAACAGAAATATACTCATCAACATGCGATAGACCTTAAGACAATCACTGCCCACCACATCCTCGGACAGTCCAGTCAGTCTAGTCGGACTAAACATCACCACAAGCAGTGCGATCGCCCCAGGAAGAGAAGGAAGAGAGCCGTCTCAAGAGCTAAGCTAACCAAGTTTGGACCTATGGTCGCAGGAAAATTAAATGGATGATTAAGACTTGGGAACTGGAAAATCAGGGAAATATGGTCACATATTTACAGAGATTGGTGATGTAACAGTGGAGAAGAAACATGCCTTTGGTGTGAGCGACCCGGGTAAAATTCCCCACTGTGACGCATCCGCCAATGTGTCCCTGAGCAAGACACTTAACCCCTAGTTGCTCCAGAGGGGTGCGACCTCTGACATACTTAACAATTGTACGTTGCTTTGGATAAAAGCGGTATCCAAATGAGTAAATGTTATGTAATCGAGCTTTGGTACTTGACAAGAGGACCACGTTCTGCGCAAACGAAACGCAAAGCTCCGGTCGATTCTGTGTTTACATAACTTTTGCTTGGTGCTCAAACATAGTCAAAGTTTATAGACAATGTTTTCCAAGTCAAGTTTTTAACATTAAGATGCAGACCATATTATCTGCTCAGAGTTCACCAGTGTTTTTTTTGCTGCCTTTTTCATTCCCCCAGTTGCAAATTCAAACTAGACCTGCAAGCAGGTATTAACGATCCCAGTGACCTTGCTCAAGGCAGGTCCATAGATTCTACATGCAAAGTTTCATGTTGTTAGGACTCACCACCTAGGAGTTGTTAAAGTTTATGTACTAAAACCTTGTGCCTACCAGCTAGCTGATGTCATAATGCACTGGAGGATATCAGGAATATGTTGAAAATGATGTGAGAATCAGAATGAAATCAACTGGCAGAGTAGTGCACAGATAACAACCTACTGCTCAACATCAACAAAACCAAGGAGCTGATTTTTAGGAAAAAGGAGGCACAGACAAGCACCCCTGTCTTCATCAGTGGAGCTGAGATAGAAAAGGCTAACCGTTTTAGGTCCTGGGAATCAGAATTGCAGAGAACCTATCATGGATATTACACATCTCCAACTTGGTAAAGAAAGCTTAGAAACTGGATGAACATTTCTAAAGGAAAGTTAAAAAGGAACCTGTACCCTTTCAGAATGCGTATATGTAGATGGAGACTTTATTTCAATATAGACAGTCAGTTATTTGCTTAAATCAGTAACGTCTGCTACACAATACAAGCCACATTTGCTAACCTGCAAAAGTCTCCTTATTTAACTTACACACTTAAACATGTCTTGTGCAGCGCCATAAGTTGTTACGAGGGCATCTTACCAACCTAATTTCCTACAGAGTTCTGTTTTGGGCCCCAAGTTATTTTCTTTGCATATGCTTCCCTTAGGTCATATTATTAGAAAAAGTAAAGGTATCTCATATCACTGTTAGACTGGTGATATCCAGCTGTTTGTCCCCCATTGGGAAGGTGTAGTTTTCAGAGTTTTCTAGTGTTGAGGTTTCAGAATGCAACCACTACCTTTCCTAGCATGTGCTCTTGCTCGAACTAATGAGCAAGCCAAACCAGGCCGACACACTGGAAACAGCATCACACAAAATGCTGTAAACTCCACTGCAACATTACACTAATATTTGTATCAGCTTGACAATGATGAATGCTTGACAATCTAATCCATGCTCGTTGCATTATAATGTCACAATGACTGCATTTAGCTGACAGCTTTTCAATAAGTATTTGTGTATCTTTAATTGGACAATATGGAGGTGAGCGCCTCTATTTTTTTTGTTTTTGACTGCTTCGCTAGACACGCTATGCTGGGTGAGCTGTACAGTATTTAATGAGAAAATGTAAGATTCACAGGATGTTTACAGACTATATATGTACTGCCCATCATCGTTAAACACAAAATCTGAACAAAAACTTCAACATCAAACATGAGTAGGCTAATGCAGCTTGGTGAGTGTGCCAATTAGATGCCTGTCTAGCAACCAAAAGTGTGGACTTAAATCGCTACAAAAACATTGATTATGTTGAAACTGGATCATATTTTATGGAGAAAATATTTTCTTTCAGTGATTTACGGAGTTTGCTGATGGATAGATATGTATGTTGTTAGCAGTTACTCTAGCTGTTAACTAATAAAACGGTAGCACAGGCTTGAGGATGCAAAAAATGCACGTTACAAAGAAACAACTTCTTGTATGTTACATTCGAAACTGGAAGTGATGTCATATGTCTGCGTAGGCCTGTCCGGTTAACACAAAACTTGGGGTTCCTATGCCCCACAGAGGCTTAACACAAAGTTTGCCATCAATTAGCTACTAGGTGGCGCTAAAAATTATATATCCACATCTGTATGTCCGATTAACACAAAACTTGGGCCAGTAGTTTCCGGTGCCACCCTGAGGTTGTGCAAAAATGTTGTTGACCATTGGCTACTAGATGGTGCTTTTGTTAAACTCATGAAGTATGTTACAATTATTTTTGGTAATGGCTTTTAAATGGACTATAATCAAGGTACGTGCATTTTGGCCTGTAACTCCCAGATAATATGTTGCACATTCACATATCTTATAAGCATGTGTTCCCTGAATCTAGCTGCATCTCAGGATACGGCCATTTCTACCAATAACTTATTTTCCCAAAATTGCACAATGTGCAAAACCTACATTTTTAAACGTCTGATGAGCTCGCTTTGCACAAATCTTTGCACACAGACTCTAGGTCATAAAATACGCTAAACATAGGTTATGGCCAAAACCGGAAGTGATGTCATAACTCTTCGGAGGTTTGTCCGATCAGCACAACAATTGACTGTGTACTTTCCCATGCTCCCCTAAAGCTATGCGCAAAATTTGGTGACAATAAACTACTTGGTGTCGCTTATTTTTGCAGAATCACAAAATGTGCTAAAATAATTTTTCCAAACAAAAAAATCCACTGCTAAAGTCAGCTTGCTGGCCAGATAGATTACTTAGTTACTTACCCTGGCGCACATTAAATGGCATGTAAACACACCTGCAAATGTCACTTTGGTCTGGTTAGGAGGCGGTGTCAGACACGGACAGTGACATGCCCTGCTGGCTGAGATAAAAAGGAACATTTGTAACAGTTCCCAAAAAAAAATTTTTCTTCCTTTTTTATTATAAAAATCTATTGATACACTGATCGTATTTCTTAGACAATATTTCTTCTATTTCACTAGCATTGGTAAATGCAGTGGTCAAGATATTGATGTACTATGACTTTAAAAGGAGGATAGCCACCCATCTCCTTAATAGGTCACATACTGCAGATTGTTAGTTAAAATGAGTCTCATATTGTGAAATGCATGTGCAGGCATATTTTTCTTGCTGAAATAGTATTTATGGCTTAGTCAAATAGTTATAGTTGTCTTGCATTTAGAGGGACTTGTTACAGTTGTATTGATGTGACCCCAACTGTGTCTCTCAGAGTGAAGACCTGTTGTGGAACGACTATGAAGAGAAACTAAGTGACCAGATTGTACGCACCATGGAGAACTATACAAGCCAGTTCCCTGAGGTCAAGGTAACCTGATGTGATTTTAACTTGAACAGTTCCTGCAAAACAGTATGCAAATAACACCAGTCTGGTTTTGATTACTGGTGGACGACAAGTGATTCAAACTCTTGCCTGTGTTTCAGGAACGAGTTGCTAAGCGCGGCCGCAAGCTAGTGGACTATGATTCAGCACGACACCACTTGGAAGCGCTACAGAGTGCCAAGAAAAAGGATGACGTCAAAATAGCAAAGGTAGCATCAGGATCACAGTACACATGATTCAACTGTACATTTTAAAAAAACTCTACTCTGAAATCCCTTTTAACAGGCGGAGGAAGAGTTCAACAAAGCCCAGAGTGTCTTTGAAGAAATAAATAATGAGCTGAGGGAGGAGCTGCCTGTTCTCTATCAGAGGTATGGTAATATTAGTCTTGACTGAAAGTCTATAAAGAATTACAGAATTAGTCTGAGAAAACATTTTCCAGGACAACATAACTAAACCTGGCTTGTAATTATTGAACTGAAAGACAAACTGAGAGCTGTCTTTGTCTTAGCCGGATAGGTTGCTATGTGACGGTGTTCCAAAACGTCTCAAACCTGAGAGATGTCTTCTATAAGGAAATGAGTGTGGTGAGATATGACAGATCCTTTTTACTCTCTCTCATTTTAGTAATTAATTACCAAAGTAAATAAAATACTATGAAAACTCCCAACTGCATCTTCAGATGAGATTTAAGGCATTGTAGAGTTACAAATTAGTTTTTGTGCTTACGTTTCACTTTGTGTTGCAGCTGAACCGTGAGCTGTACAATGTGATGAAGAAACTGGAGACTCAGCACTCAGGAAAAGCTTTTATCGTCAAGGGTTTGAACAGGTAAGGCACTGTGTTGCATGTGTCCTCATCTGTGGTTAAAGTGTTTCCAACAAGAATGTCTTGTCTAGTAAATAAATAAAACGAATATCTAATGCTGCGTATCTTAATTTTTGTATGGAGTGCTGGAGTATTAAAAACAAATTTCTGGTGAATTTATATAATGCTATATGAAACTCCAAAAATAACAAATTTACTGTGTTGTCAAATAGCACGTCAAGTAAGTCAAAGAAGAGAAAGTCGGTGGTTATCTCCAATCCCATCCCTTGCAATACGGCTTTCCCAACTGACCACGTCTCGATCCATTCTTCCAATGAAAATGGAAATGACGGCGTACCCTCTTCCCCTGCCCAGAAAACTCAGAGCATTGCTGAAGAAACCAGCCTACCAGAAGAAAGTAGTGTTTCATCCAAAAATGTCAACTCGTCAGACTCAGATCTCAGTTCCTGCAGCACCAACACACCTAAAAGGCAGTCCATATGTGACAATGAGAACAGCAACAAGAGCACGGAGAGTCCAGAAGAGGCGGAGGCAGCGGTCGAAGCAGAAACAGAACTTGCTACAATCCAGTCCGATGTTCCCAATCCTTCTGATTCTGCAGATAGTGATTCCGCACATATTCCAAAGCAGGAAATTGTGAGTGATCCACCATCAGAGGAGGCCAAGCCCAAACCTGCACCGGTTCCCGTCCCTCGCCTCTCCCTCTGTTCCATAGGTGCTGGAGAGGAGGAGGAGGAGGAGGAGGAGGAGATAGAGGAGATAGAGGAAGCAGAGGAAGCTTCAGTCAACCAGGAGACAGCTGACTCGAGTTCCGACTTTCCACCAGGTTTCCTATACAAGGTAGGCAAACTATGATTTTAATGACTATTTTAACATTTTGGTGAACATGTATGATTTCATTTTAGATTTTCTAGGGGTGAGATGAGATTCTTCCTTGTCAAAACCTGGTGCATTACCCTGAGCCAGACATTTCGGTATATGTTAGCAGCTAAAAAAAAAAGTAGTGGCTAATGTTACCTTAAGCCGCTAGCCTCAAGCAGTGATGGGGAGCAGGCTACAAAGGTCTGATAAACTCACTTTAGTCCACACCCCCAGATATTTAGCATATGTAGTCTTCAGACCCAATCGAAGGAAGTACAGTTTCAAAATTAACTGAAAATATATTAACATTAAAGACATTGTGTTTTGGGCCGTTGCTCCCTGCTGCTGTAAACTTGTGCGCACACACACTTTGGCAACCGACTCGAGACAACCCCTTTTCTTTTGAGGCTACTACGGTAATGTTAACTAGGGATGTCAACAGCGTTCACGGTCTCCCGTTTGTGAATGTGATTATGCTAGCTGCCAAATTTGGAGTGCACATGTATTAGCGCCTTTATGGTAAATGCAGTTAAAAGGAGCAAAGCGAGCTGAAAGGCAGGGTTAACAACTTTATTCTGTCATTTTCTCACTCAGGGAAAAAGTGTTTGTGTGAGAGTCTTACCTGAAGAGAGGCTATTAAGTCTTAATTGTACGATACGAGCACAACATACAATATAATTTTTCAAATTGCGTCGGACTTTGAATGTAGCGCGAGGATACACGTGACAAAGTCCGGTTTTCAAAATGAGTTTAGCACAACAGTGTTAACACAGTGTTAACACAACGTATACAGTATATAAATAAGATTAATTGGATTATATTCACAGGAAGTATAAAACATATTACATGTGTCAATTTAAAGTAAAATAAAACATTACGTATTTACAAATAATTCTTTGATTTATGGTTGCCGGAAAAACGTTACATAAATTTGTTGACTTTTTTGCTGCTTCATCCCCATTTCTATCTGGACAGTGGACAATGATCAACTTGTTTACTAGATCACAAAATTGTTAACAAGAGTGCAAAGTTCTTCATAGATCTAACCTCTTTATTTTGCTTTTAGTGCATCAAATTAATACACTAAAACTTTAAAACTTTAAACAAGTCTTTCTTTCAGGGGGGCATGCCCCCAGACCCCCCCTAGAGGATCGATGTCAACTCACCATAGTCTCTCAAAATCGAATCGATTCCATTGTAAAACAAAATCATTTTTGATTCATGTAAAATTTAAAGTTAAATAACGATTAAAAGGATCTGTTCTAGTGGTATCTAGCCATGTAGATAAGTCTAAAATATCTGTCTCTGAGATTTCTGCCTCCACTCCAATACAAAGGAAGTGAATAAAATGTCCTGTGTGTTGAAATAGTCAATATCGGTTCTTTGTTTCCAGGTTATAGGGGTTTTTGTGTTCGGAAAGTCTAGTTGCTGTCATAAATTTGCAAATATGATTTATTTAAGTTAACCTCCAAGTCTCAGATATCTCAACACCTGGAAACTGCTATTCAGTAATGTCTGTGTAAATTGTAATGCTTAGTATTAAGTTTGCATTTATGTGACCTGTGCTTTACACCAGGGGGTGGCAGTAGAGAGCTGTGCAGCGTCTGAAGATGGCCTTCTCCAGTTTGATCAGGGAGACATCATCTTGGTACTTGCAGACATTGAAGAGGTTTGTGTGCCTTGTAAAGGATAGTTCACTTCCCATGGTACTTCAGAGAAGATTACACAATTCCTCTAAAGTCTGCTCCTTTTCTTTGGTCTGTGGACCTTTTGCTGAACCTGAAGATGTTGTTTAGAAGAGTATGTAGTGGGGATTTGTTTTTTAAGTTTGAAATAGATCCACTGTGTATGCACATATATGGCTCAATCTTTTTGTTGTTGAGTGAAGAATTTTTATTTTTCCTGTGAGCAACTAACCAAACAGAGATATTCCCTGAGATATTTCCACTGCAGATAGAATGAGTAGACAGCAGGAACTTTTCTAAAATGTCTGAATTAAAATATACTAAACATCGGGGACTGTATTCACAAAACATCCTAAGGTTTGCTAAAATAAAGTAAGGTTCTAAGAGTAATTCACAATGCATTGTAGTGCTTAAACAAGTCTGAGAGAGGTTAAGAGTTAGTACAGAGGACTTATAAAGACCTGCTCACAATCTAATTTAATTAGATTTTAATTGTTTGAATTTTTAATAAAGATTTCAATATATTTACTTTTTAATAGAATTTAAATGTTTAATTTAATTTAGAATGATTTAAATTAATCTATCATCTAATTAAGTTTTTATTGTTTTTCAGGCAGATTACAGTTTTATGTTTCAGGATACATCAATATGTATAGATACAAATGGAGGTAAACATACTGTATACAAGACTAACATTAAATAAATAAACACAATAAAGATCTAAAATAACACGGCGTAAGAAAATAAAAAAACAACATACAAAGACCTTAATGCATAGTAGTTACTTTCCTTAAAGTATTTTAAAATGATCCAAGCTTTATTCAAAAGTACAGGCTTATGTTTAGAGGCAAATTAATTTTTTCGATTTTGAAGGTCCAAATTCCAATTTAACAAAATAAGTCAATTGAACATTTTCCACAATAATGCTAAATAAAGCTGTAAAGGGATTGGGGTTTAAATCAGTGTTAAAAAGATTTGAAGACTTCTCCCCAGAACTGACCTACTCTATGTACAATGTTAAATTGGATAAGGTGGTGCCTAGACCTCCATAGAGGAGAAATTAATTTATAGTAAGTAAAAATTGTGTTCTAGTCCTCTTCGTTCAAAAATGTCCCTAACAAAAAAAAGAGGCCTGCTTTGTGTTGATGGCATTCTAAATTTTAAAGATGGCACTTTTTTATTATTGTATGTTGATCTAAAATATTTTCAAGTATAGAAATGGCATACTGCAAGAGATTGGCACAGCCATAAAGAGATATTTTAGCTTAAGTGAAGCTTCAGTTATAGTGTGGATATCTCTTATTTAGAAAATAGAGACTCATCTTGTGGTGATTCCGAAGTGTACAAGTATCTGTAAAATTGTTTGTATGTGTATTTATGTTGTCATAATTAACCCTATTGGTCTCCTGACGGTATTCTAAGCTGTAGAATCGAAATGGATGCCTCATATCTGATTTGTGAGTGTATTCCCTGTCTCATCACCCTGCTTATAAACTCTGAAGTGAGCCTGTAACAGTAGATTTTCAGCCTCAGATGTGGATAGTAGTAGGGCTACCCCTTTCTAGATTTGATTTTCCCAGTCAACTAGTTAAAACATTGGTTCAAGCCATTAGGCAAAAATGGTTTGAGTTCCAGGGGTGGGAAAGAATGTCGTAAGTAACATTGTTAACACTGTGCTACATTATAGAGAAATACTAGTCATGTACCAATCCGACTTTTTCAGTTCAAATACCGATGCCTGGGCTTTGGGTATTGGCCGATCTGGCTAATACCAATCCGATACCAGTTTAAAATAAATAAGCTGTATTCCTCACTGTGAGGAAGAGAGTGGGAATCATTCTTTTATACAGGATCTCACAAAAGTGAGTACACTTTTCACATTTTAGTAAATATTTGATTATATCTTTTCATGTGACAACACTGAAGAAATGACACTTTGCTACAATGTAAAGTAGTGGGTGTACAGCTTGTATAACAGTGTAAATTTGCTGTCCCCTCAAAATAACACATCACACAGCCCTTAATGTCTAAATCGCTGGCAACAAAAGTGAGTACACCCCTAAGTGAAAATGTCCAAATTGGGCCCAATTAGCCATTTTCCCTACCCAGTGTTATGTGACTCGTTAGTGTTACTTAATTATTCAGTAAAACCATGTGTTATTGTGACTTGGCCACTGACAGATAACATGGAAAATGTAAGCCGAGAGAGTGTAACATTGTCACTGTTTCTGCACCACAGTCCATTATAAACCACATAATAGATCAAGTTTACAAAGGCATACTACAACATTGACAATCAAAACATGTTAATTCTCTCTGTGATTATGGACCCTTGCCAAAACTGCTCGCCAGCAATACTATCTAGCCTGCGGCCAGATTATGGTGCTTTGATAGCGGCAAAAAATATAAATAAAACAATACTTTGATAATGGTGCTGAAATATATCTGTCATGACAGCAGCAGTTACTCGCATAATCACTTCCTCTTTAGTGGTTTTGATTGCAAAATAAATAAATAAAAATAAATAAAGCGTGAGAACGTAACATAAATCCACTGCTTATAAAATTAATACTGGTGTTCCGCAAAGGTCTATACTTGGGCAACTGTTGTTAGGCTTTATGTTAATAATTTGCCCTTGGTTGGTCCTGATGTAGAGATCCAACTATATGCTGATGATTAAGTGATTTATGTATACAGCTGCACAAAGCACCAAGCTGCATCAAAACTTATTAGTGCAAAGAACCATATCATAACATGGCTTGACAGATCATGTCAGAATATCAGTTAGTCTGTAGTTTCAAAGCAGTCCTGCGGAGTGGTAATGGATTCCTCGCTCCACTCTTGAACTGCCTGAAGAAATGTTTTTTACTGTTTTAAACGTAAAAAGGGAGAGAAGAATGGAGGTATGATCAGACTTACCAAGGGCAGGGGGTGAGAGGCTTGTACCTATTTCGTAATTGGGAATAACAATGGTCAAGAGTCTGTTCACCACGGGTAGTATTTTGGTAAGACTCCTCATGTTAGCCCTGTTGAAGTTGCCAACAGCAATAAAAGCTATCTCAGGGTGAACATTCTCCAGTCCGTTAAATACTCCATATACAACAAAATTATACTTGGTCCTTGATTCATTGAGGGGAAAAAAAAATCCAATATTGCCTCCTATCTGAGTGACAAAAGTACGTGATCCCATTGATTTCTTCCTGTTCTGAGCTGCTGGCACTGCGGGACATCTTTCAAAAAGAAAAACTAAGCAGATGAAGAATTTTATTTGCTACAGTAAGTTTACTTGCGGGCGGCACGGTGATGCAGTGGTTAGCACTGTCACCTCACAGCGAGAAGGTCGCGGGTTCAAACCCCGGTCGTCCCGGCCTTTCTGTGTGGAGTTTGCATGTTCTCCCCGTGGTCGCGTGGGTTCTCTCTGAGTGCTCTGGCTTCCTCCCACCGTCCAAAGACATGCAGACTAGGTTAATTGGTGAACCTTAAATTGTCCTTAGGTGTGAGTGTGAGTGGTTGTCTATGTGTGGCCCTGCGATGATTTGCGCGATGTCACCTGGGATCGGCTCCAGCCCCCCGCGACCCTGTACGCAGGATAAGCGGTTGACGATGGATGGATGGATGGATGAAGTTTACTTGCGTCTATGTTGCCCGTTTCTTTGTGCTTCTTCAAAAGAGATTAGACAGCACTTCTGGAGACCCCTGTCTCTCATCAGTCTTGTTCCGAAGTGAAGCCTCTCTTTCCTCAGCCTTTATCAGATGCTCCCTTATTCTTACTGATGCTGGCGGGGGTTTCTTAGCCATTTCCTACTCCAATTGTCCAATGTGTAGAGACCGGCCTTTGGTAAGGAGCTAGCAGCCTCTATTCAAAGAGGAAGTCATGGCTGTATTGTCTTATATTGTGCTGCTTGGTTTTCAGTAGTAGAAGACAAAATCCAGAGAATCAAAATATGAGGCCATCCATGATGACTACACTATAGCTTTGCAATTCCCTATATTGCAATCTATTTTTTGTTAATACAGAACACACATTCACAAAGTATCTCATTAGAGGGTTTATTTCTTTCCTTAAGATCTTACATGTGTTTAATTTATGTCTCTCACAGCAGGAAGGCCTGGTGAAGGGGATCAGGGAGGAGAGCTGGAACCAGCACAGGGATCTAGAAAATCACTCTGGGATCTTCCCGGGAAAACTCATCCAGCCTGTTCAGGCAGAGTGAGGCAATAGTCCCTACTCAATCTGTAATGATTTCTCCTTCCATAGAGCAGTTGGTGATGCACATTCTCACATACCACACACAGAGGGAGTGAATCCAAATGTTTTGGGTGAAACCCCACGTGGTTACTCTATGCTATGATGTTGTAACTTGTGAACTTGTGCGACTGAGCTTTCGAACATTTTGTAATAGATGTTTGCATTGTTAAAGGTTACAGTATTTTACTATTTTTGTATTTTCCTTTCTGTGGAAGACTGTGAAACAAAAAAATCTTTTTATACCGCTTCTATGATGTACAATATCCTAATAAAGTTCTAAATAAAAGAGAAGATGATGTCATTCTTTTATGAAATCCTGCAAATTTTAATACAGCAAAGTTTCATATTGATTCTGGGAATTTTCAATCAAAGATTAAATGGGATTTGCATTTTGTGAATAAAGTAAATTGTTGCAGATAAACGGCCTCAATTACAGAAAGGCCTGCGATTCACCAGAATGAAATGGAATGTAAAATTATTATCAAGACCTGAAAACAGACACATTGACTGACTGAGGAGTTTTTGAAAGAAAGATCTGTCTTTCATAAAATCCTACTGATCTGGGGTTCAGTTCCCCTAGTTTGTCTGTTTACTGTGTGGAAATGAGAAACTCTACTTCTACATATCACCAGACCTTATATATAGCCAGTTGGTTAATGAGGTGAAACCAAAAGTGGGTGATTAGGACATGCGACAGGGAACAAGGCAGTCTGCATCATGGGTTTTCAGATGAGTGCTGTGATTTACTGGTTGGATTTTGGTCTTGCACTCAGGTCAAACAGCAGGGATGACCAACATGCCCCAACTCTAGCAACATCATTTAGATGCAATTCCCCAATGTATCTAAAGGACTGACGCAAGGCAGTTTACCACAGTTAATCTGAAAACGAGAAGAACAAGACAAGACTACCATTCCTCTGGTACTTGTGAATTCAAACAGCATGCAGGGTGTACAAACACTATTACTATACTACTACTATTATAATTATTATGATGTGTTATCACTTTGCCCTTTACTGTGCATTCTAATAGAACTGAAGGCCAGCTAAGCGATCTCAAACATCTGGGTGTGTGTCCCACCTACTGAAACCAACCTCTTGGTCCAATCCCAATGTCCCCCCTAAGCCCAAAGCCCTAAAGGCCCATTTATACTGCTGCTCAGGGTCTATCTATGTACCTACGCCGTAGGCTACGCACGTAGCCATGCATTTATACTTTAAGTTGGCGGTAGTGCTGAAGCGTCCACTGTGTTGACTTTTGCTGGCCGTGCAGGCTAACTTCCGGGTTAGTGCTCCTATAATGTAAATGGGGGTTAAATTGTATACGTGTGGCTGGTGTAGCCTTTTGAAATGTTACCAACTGAATAAATCACATTCTGATAGCGAAACGAGTCATGCGACTGTCAAATATACTGATTCACTGTGTTACAGCCGCCGTTTTAGCCGCTAGTAAATGCTACTTTAAAGCAAGGGGTAATTCCGGTTGGCTCGGAGGCATTGCGAGGCCAATCACAGAGCTTACGGTCCACGTCGACTCGACATGTAGTTACATTTTTGAGGAGGTGCACGTCAGGTGACAGCGTAGCCTCTGCGTAGCCCCGTAGCCTACGCCGTCGATTTGATGCACAAGTAAATAAATAAATTGCACTTAAACCCTCACAGACTTTATTGACGTCACTTGGAAAGTGATAAAGGGCAAGAGGCTGCAAGGACAACAATGCTGTAAAAGGAACGGGACAGCACTTTGACACATTATAATGTTACCTACAGAGTGGAGGAGAGGTAAATGTCAATATACATTTGTCAATAATCAATGCACTATTGTTGGTCAAAACGGCATCATTAAGCAAAAACTAAAATAAATAGTTGAAAAAACTTAAGTGTGTAATAAGGTGATTGCATTCCTCTGACTTCATGTGTTGGTTGACATCAGCTTTGTTGTCCATGCTTGTTTGTTTACCGTTGTTCTTCTTCTCTTATACGGTGATGATATTTCTCTCGCTTCACAACGCTATGAATGGTGGGGAATTCCATCAGGCAAAGTCTGCAGAAATGCAGACTTATGAAAATATGCCTCTTTTGAATATAATGCTGTCTTGGTGTCTGCTCCATTAAAAGTCTTGATAGTCATATACCATCCAACAGGACAAATGGGTAACTTTTGGGACAAGCTAGACACACTGCTGTCTTCAATCCTGGAGCATGGCTGTCCTCGGTGACATGAACATTCACTTAGACAAATCATACTCAGTAGACTTACTGTCTCTGATTTAGTCTTTTGATCTAAAATGAGTTCTCAGCCCCCCGACCCACAAAGCTGGCAAAGTTTTCAACCTTGTTGGTGCAAAAGGTTCGACACCAAGCCTAACATGTAGCACTCCTGCTTCATCTATTCCTTTGTCTTCTCAGGTCAATGGCAATTCAGTCTCCTCATTTATTCCTCTCACAGAGAGCAAGGTATCAGACCCATTGCCGTCCCACTACATGCCCACTGGACCCATTTCCTGCCAGTCTCCTTCCTGCTATCTGCAATGAGCATCTCAGACAAATCACCTCTCTGGGCTTTCCTACAATGTGTTTTGGCAAGGACAATTGTCCTCCTCTCACTGTCTTTCCCCGGGAATGCCCCAAGGCTCGGTGCTAGGGCTACTTCTCAATTTACACCACCTCACTGGGGACAATCATTCACTCGCATGGCTTCCGTTCCACTGCTACGCAGACGAAATGCAACTATACCTATCCTTCCTACGTCTCTTGGACATATCTGCATGAATGAAGGCTCCCTTCAACTAAACCTCTCTAAGACTGAACTCTTGGTCATTCCAGCCAAGAAATCTATCCACCATAACATCAAACTACAAATTGGCTCCTCAACCATCACTCCAACCAGGGTAGTGAGAAACTTGGGTGTCATGATTGATGACCAGCTGTCCTTTTCAGACTATGCTGCTGTTGTCTCTCAGTCGTGCTGCTTTGCTCTATAAAACATACGCCTTGACTATTGCAGTACCCTCCTAGTGGGTCTTCCAGCTTGTACAATGAAACTCTGAGCTTATCACTGAGCTCTGAGTTGACTGAGCCTGAGATGTGAAACTCTGAGTTTTCGGTTCCAGAACAGCTGATCAGAATTAGTTCAGTCAACTCTGAGTATATTGAGCCTGATGAAGTGTGTGCGTGAGGATGAAAAGAAGCCATGCCATGGATTCACCATGGCAACAGGTACATAAAGGCAGAGCCTCCATTTTAATCAGGTGGAGCAAAAAATATGAATGCGTGCCAGCGTGGACCATGATTGGCTCTAAAACGCAGGAGTGGAGGAAGGATCAATATGTTAACATTAGTACGTTTTACATACGTACTAGCGTTTTTGCATTTAACCCATCCCTGAAGGGAGCAGTGGGCAGCCACTGTACAGCGCCTGGGGACAGACTCCAGATTGAAATGCCATGCCAGGTCAAACGGCACTGACTGGAGAACATACCTAACATGTTTTTGACAGTGGGGAAAACTGGAGCACCCGGAGAAAACCCACGCAGACAACATGCAAACTCCACACAGAAAGGCAAGGGCAACCGGGGTTTGAACCCACAACCTTCTTGCTGTGAGGCAACAGCGCCAACCACTGGACCACCGTGCCACCATTTTGTTTGTTTTTTTAAACGTAAAAAAAATTAAGTTGTAGCCTAGGCCTAACCTGATGGGATAAAAAAAGAATTGGCTACCTGATTATGAAAATAGGTAGCCTACAAGACACAGTTTACAATTTTCACAAATGCCCCTTTCTGAAATGGGGCCCTGGTGGTGTAGTTCTCTGGCATCAACACCAAAAACTATAATAATGCACATGCCTTGTTTGTTACTGTTGACAGACTAACCAACCCTCCTGTGTCTATAGCCTCTGAACTTCTATCCTCCAAGGCCTGCAATGAATTTGCCTCCTTCACAGACAAAATTCAAACAATTAGACAAGCTATCAGTGCCTCTATGTGAGGTACAGGATATTTGTTGCCCCTGTGTCCACTTAAAAACAATTCAAATAGCATGACACAATTGGATTCTATTAACCATAAAAACCTGGAGGACAAAATTTAACATCTGAAATTCTTCTCATGCTCCCTTGATATTCTGCCAACAGGTTTATACAAAAATGTTTCTGATTGCATGGCCACAGATCTTCTACAATTTGTCAACATGTTTCTTTTCTCAGTTTCTTCCCAACAGTCCCTGAAAACTTCAGTCATTAAGCCACTCTTGAAAAAGAGAAATCTAGACAGGTCACTAATGAGCAATTATAGGCCCTTATCAAATCTCCCATTTTTAAGTAAAATCATTGAAAAAGCTGTATTTTACTAGCTTTGTGCTTTCTTGGCACTTCCAATGAGGATTATGACCACACCACAGCACTGAGACAGCTATTGTTAAGGTCTTCAATGACATCCATTTAAACACTGACAGTGGCGGAATCTCAGTCTTAGTATTATTGGATCTCCGTGCTGCATTCGACACGGTCGACCACAACATATTACTTGACAGACTTGAAAACTGGGTGGGAATTTCTGGCACAGGCCTAAGTGCCAGAAGTGGTTTGAATCCTACTTAAATCACACATCTGAACTAACAAAAATGACTTGTGGAGTTAACCAAGGCTCCATTTTGGGGCCTCTTTTGTTTAACATCTACATGTTTCCACTGGCTCAGATTATGAAAAACAACAAAATATGTTACCATAGTTATGCAGATGACACACATATTTACATAACCATATCACCAGGGGACTATGATCCCATATGGGCGCTGTGTGGCTGTATTGAGCAAGTCAACGGTTGAATGTGCCAAACTTTTCTTCAGTTGAACAAAGATAAAACTGAATTTATTGTTTTTGGAGCCAACGAAGAATGATTAAAAGTCAGTGCTCAGCTTCAATCGGTAATGTTGAGGATCACAAACCAAGCCAGAAATCTTGTAGTCATGGACTCGGACCTGAATTTAAGCAGCCACATTAAGACAATTACAAAGTCAGCCTACTATCACCTGAAGATATATATATATATATATCAAGGATTAAAGGACTTATGTCTCAGCAGGACCTGGAAAAACTTATCCTGATTTTGATCTTCAGACGACTCAACTACTGTAATGAACTAAAATTTACAGGGCCCCCATAAAATCCATCAGACAGCTGTACGTCAAAGAATTGATTTCAAAATCCTGCTGTTGGTTTATAAAGCACTGAATGGTTTAGGTCCATCCAGCGGATGCACCTGCGGCTTCGAGTCTCCCTGATACGGATCTCTTTCGGCGGACAGTGCCTGCCGACACTGTTGCATCTCCTTCACGGGCTACATCTCTCGCACTGGGCCGCTGGTCTGCCGTCATCCCAGTCAAAAACCTCTGCTTCCTGACGTAGGATCCTGAAGGAGGCTGTGCTCAAACGCTCTGGAGGCCGTCTCTACCCTGCACCGTCGGGTAGCCCTTCTCTCAGGTCTGTAACTGCTACTCCAACACAACACTCGGCAGCTCACACACTCCATCCTCAGTCCGCACGCAGTGTTGAAGCAGATTCTGCTCAGTCCTGCTCTGGAACCCCACAACCGGCATCTCCTCGTCCTCTTTTCTCCCCAACCACACTAATAATTGGTGACTCCATAACCAGAAACATCCGTTTCTTTAACGCTACCACTCACTGCTTCCCCGGTGCCACCACGGCTGACATTTTAAAAAAACTCCAGGACCTAATGCCATCGCTCCCGTCCTCCATCAGTGTGAGTGTCCATGTCGGAACAAATGACACAGCTCTTCAGCAGTCTGAGCTGACAAAATCTGATTTTAACCGTCTTTTTAACTTTTTAAAGCAGTGTGGAAAGTCCGTTTTTATCCCATTCCCACAGCTGGCCGCTTCAGTAGACTCCTTGGCCTCCACGACTGGCTCCAGTCCGCCTGCAGGGCTCACCGTGTGTGTTATGTGGATAATTTTAATATTTTCTGGCAAAGAATGTCTCTTTTTAAGACAGACGGACTTCACCCAAACAAACGGGGCTCAGAAATGTTAGCTGCTCACATACAGCATGTGGTGCGGTCCACACATGACTTACGTGAATGACTAATCATTCATGCAGCACACCTGGACACACCACCGCTCACTGTACAGATCTCTGCCTCACTGCCACAAACAACTGTCTCCACCTGCTGGCATGTAAAACTGTCTGCTCCCAGCGCTGTTCCAAAGACTTCAATTCCTGTCATCATCACGTATAGACCAGTAAACCGAAATGTGCACATCCCACACAGAAATATTAGTAATCTCTTAAGGATTAGGACAACTGCACCAATTCCAGCACCCAAAACAAACTCATTTAAAATGACTCTCTTCAATGTGAGATCACTTTCAAGTAAGACTTTTACCTTAAATGATTTTATCTTGTCTGCAAATCTAGATTTTATGTTTTTAACTGAATCCTGGTTGCAAATGAGTGACTGTAGCCAGTTAGCTGAACTGTGTCCACCTCAATATGATTGTTTTAGTCAACCGAGGGTCAGTGGTCGTGGTGGTGGGCTAGTGAGCGTGTATAGGAAATATTTAAAATGTTATCAAGTACGCTGTGATATGGTGTGCCTCAGGGGTCGGTCTTAGGACCCATTTTGTTTTCCTTGTATCTGCTTCCCCTTGGACATATTATCCATAAACATGGCATTTCTTTTCATATTTATGCTGATGACACAGAAATATACTTGCCCGTCAGATCCACAGACCCTGGAATGCTGAGTTCACTTAACAACTGCCTTTGTGAAGTTAAAAAATGGATGTCAAATAATTTCCTCCTGCTGAACTCAGACAAAACAGAAATCCTGGTCATCGGATCCCAGCAGATGGCAAATCAAATACTGCCATCTGCTGGTTCCCTAGTAAATCACATTAAGCCTGTGGCAAAGAACCTTGGTGTCTGGTTTGATAGTAATTTAAATTTCGAGCAGCACACCACAAAGCTTGTTCAATCATGTTTTTATCAACTTAGAAATACAGCAAAAATTTGATCTATGTTAACTTTTAAGGACACCGAGACCATTTTACACGCCTTCATCTCATCACGCCTGGATTATTGCAACAGACTTTTCACCTGTTTAACCCAAAAATCTATTGATCGACTCCAGACTGTCCAGAACTCAGCTGCCAGGCTTTTAACCAGAACAAAGAAAAATGACCACATTACCCCTATTTTAGCTTCATTACACTGGCTCCCAGTATGTTTTAGAATTGACTTTAAAATTCTATTGATTACTTTTAAAGCTCTTCATGGCCTCTCGCCTTGTTATATTTCTGAACTTTTAGTCCCATACACACCAGCACGTACCTTGAGATCCTCGGGCAGAGGTCTGTTGTCTGTTCCAGAGTCTCGACTGAAAACTAAAGGGGACAGAGCGTTTGCTGTCAGGGCCCCGAGGCTCTGGAACAGCCTGCCCGAGGAAATCAGGTTGGCTGAGTCAGTGAACTCTTTTAAGTCCCTTCTTAAAACATATAGGAGAGCCTTTCCCGATCTTATTTGACTTTATGACAGTCTGACAGTCCTCAGGACTCCATGGTGTCTCTTCCAGTTTAAGGTCATGCCATTTGGTTTGCATGGGGCTCCAGTCCACTTCCAGAGGCTCATGGACTGTGTGATTTCACTGATTTTGCGAATGCTTCCGACTGGGGTCTGTGCTTATCTAGGGACCACCAGACAACCCCTATCCAGTTGCCCACACCACCTGGAAACTCTTCCCCAGAGTGGTTAGGTATTCGACAGTGGAAAAGGAGGCACTGGCTATTAAGTGGGTTCTCGACTCTTCCAGGAAAGGACAGCAGCCCACCTGACTGTCCCTCCCACAGTTTCAGCGAGAGTCTACCTCATTTGTGCACAGATTAATTTCTGTTACAATCAGCCACACCCCGAACCATTCATGCTCACAAAGGTACAGATAACATTGTTTGGTCTGCAGTCACAATGCCAATTGCACGCTCCCTCAAAACTTGCAACATCTGTGGCATTGTGCTGCGTGATGGAACTGCATTTTTGAGTGGCCTTTTATTGTGGCCAGCCTAAGGAAACACCTGTACAATACCCATGCTGTCTGATCAGCATCTTGATATGCCACACACCTGTGAGGTGGATGGATTATCTCAGCAGATTTTGACAGATTTGTAAACAATATTTGAAAGAAATAGGCCTGTATACACAGAGAAAGTAATAGATTTTTGAGTTCAGTGGGCAATAGGGGCAAAAACAAAAATGTTGTGTTTATAATTTTGTTCAGTATAATAGGCTATTTAAGTGTGATTTTTTTATGTTTCTAAAGACGTAAACTTATGCATATGAATGCATTCTAAAATGTGCTTTGATATGGACAGTATGAATGAGGAAATGAAATGGTGTGTCAGACAGCTGGGGAGGAGTCACAGATAAACTAAATATTTTTGTTGAAGGTTCACAGCAGAAGTTGTGGATTTACTGATCTAGGGTTTGTCTGATCTCATACTCAAAACAGAAAACCCAGAGTTTCCCTCATCTCAGGCTTAACATAGAGACCCAACAATCCCACCATGAGCACTTTGCATAAAAATGTGTTTTTGACCTGGAACTACATTTGATTAGAGCATGCAGAGCACATAGACTGGTGTCATGCTGAAATGTGATCATCTGCCGAAAATCGGTTGCCGTCCATGGGAGCACGTGGACTTATGACTCTACATTATTTGCTTGGTACCAACCAATCCAGTCCTTTATACCTGTTGAAATACCTTTAACTACTTATTGACTGAAAGGTAGATTCTGCCCTGAAACATTTTGGTTTCATTAATGAGAGTTATATTTGACAGATTATAACTCACCTTGTACTTTTATACCTGTTAAAATACCTTTAAATGGCCAATACAACCCATAAAATGCTATATTTCATGTCATTATACATGTTCAACAAATGATAATGAGGATGAGGAGAAAGAGAGACATGTGATAAGTGTCAGCATGTGTGGTTCTGCTGAGTTTTGCTGGATGGATGCTCCCTCCCAAACTGCTGATTGGGTGTTTTGTGTCTCTCCTCTCCCTCCCTCTCTCTCTCACTGCATGTGTGTGTGTGTGTGTGTGTGTGTGTGTATGTGTGAGATCCCTGGCTATAATTGGTGCACTGTCATAAGGGCACTACCCTGCAAAGCAGCTTAAGCATCAGTCAGAGAAAGAAAAAGACCAAACAGAAGACGGAATTTGCCTTCCCCTGGCTGTGAGTAACTCATTTGCTGTCTCATGTATTTAGACAGACTGTGTAATTTACGGTAGCAGGAGCATGCATCTGTTTTGCCTATGACTTTGAGTCTGCAGTGGCAGATGACTCAGCTGTTTGTGTTTGGAGCCTCAGTGAACACTGAAATGCAGGACAAATATGCGGCTAAGTAGAGTTTAATGCACACAGTATATGGAGCCAAAACTGCTATTTCTACGACACAGAAACATAAAACTGATGAAACCTCCCCCTATATGATCTGGTATGTACACTGAAGTAATAGTGGTTAGAAAAGGTAAAAGAAACATTGCTGATTATGACAACTTGTATGTCTGTCCAATCTTAACTTTCAATAATAGAATAATAAAACTTGTTAAGTCCAAGTGGTCCTGACATGCGTATATGGTTTATTTCAACGCAATGTCTAACCCCTCCAAACAGCCCCGAAACAGCCCTCTAAACCATTGGTTTCTTTGGCAACATGCAATGGTTATTTTACTGCTGACTGATGTCTGTTTGATGACTGGTTGATCCTCCTTTTCAGCATATAAAGCCTAGTTCACACTACATGATTTTTAGCCCGATTTGCCGCTCGGTGAACTTGGCGAACATCAGGCTGTAATCGAATCAAATATCTGGAAGAGTCGGTTGACTCGACATCCACAACCAGCCAATGAGAGCAGAGTTACTTTTTCACCGCAAAACACTTTTTACTCACCTCCGTAGCTCTGTAGCTTAGACAATCCTGCTACCTGCGTGTGCTAATCCATTATTTCACTCATATTCTTTCTAGTCTTTATAATTGCAAACAACAGCTTTTTTGTCTGTAGATTCGCGTCATTCACGTTTCATATTTCACCTGTGTTTTCTTGACAAAATGTGGTTTGGAGACCAGCATCGAGTGACAGAGTCGCTGTCAGCTCGTGTAGTGTGTGACCCGGTCACCTATCAGTCACGTAGTGTGAACGCCACAATGACTTCAAGACTCCCGGCATAAGAAGGCAAGTTGTGTAGTGTGAACGGCACAGCCATCGGCCGACACTGAAAGTTGTGTAGTGTGCACAAGCCTTAAAGAGAGTGGCTTTTGCCCCATATGTTGTGCTTTGAGTTACCAGACAGGGTATTAGTGTTTGGATTCTATGAAGAGGACACAGCCAGGTTTCTCAAAATCAAAGGCAACTGGACTGGTTAAAGATACTCAAAGACGTTTTGCCTGTGGGGTCGTTGTCAAGATGATCGATACCACTTAGTTTGTAAGTGCTCCTGGGTGTTTTGACGACAGTCGTTGTGGCCGTTGGAGACACCCGAGGCCAAGTCTGAATGACCATTGTTGGCATGAGGCTAAATGTGAGCGTTTATTAACTTTCCTGGGAAGGGATGAAAGCACATCATTGTAAGTGGTATCACTAATGAACCTTGTGTGCATGAGACATTAATATGAAGATATGGCAGCATGTTTCTGGAGATGATGAAGATGCAGTTTAGAACTAACCACTGCGTGATTCATGGGGCTGGATGGGATCTGGACAGCCTGATAGAAACTGCAGCAGAGACCATTATTGATCTATGTTGCTGTTTCCGGTTTCTCCTGTGCAGGCCCTGTCTTTGTATACGCTGTAATCATGGCCAGAAACCTGCTCAAGAATCCCTGTGGGGAAGGTAAGATGCAGTTTTCTTCATGGAGGATCTGTAACTATGTTGCTACTATGGGGTTTGCCTTACCCACCCCAAGTCAGAAATGAATTTAAATATGCTAAATTAGATTTTACAAATGACAGCATGTTCATTAATAGAATGTTAGCCAAAACAAATGTTATAAAAGAGCTAGTGGGTTCATACTGTCATTTTCCAGTTTCCAAAGTTCCTGTCTCCCTTGAAGTGCATGAAGCAGTCCCAAATGGGGCTAGGGTTTTGGTAATGATCTGGAGGGTACAATAGTCTTAAAACTGCAGTGTCAATGCCAAAAGATTGAATATTTTTATTTGATTAGGAAATAAAGATATGAAAAAATCTGTTAATCTGAGCACATGAGCCTGCACAGGCTGCATCCAAGACTTTCAGACTGGAAATCGTTTAGCCATGATTGAAATATCACTGACTGTATTTAATTGATTGTTGTATTAACCACACAGAGCTGCACACAAAGCTAAATCACTGCGCATTCTTAAAGGAATAGTCTGACGTTTTGGAAACTACGCTTAGACATAGATGAGATGCTTAATACCGCTTTCATGTTTGTATGGTAAAACTGTATGAGGCTACTGGCCCCCAAAAGTTCAGGGCTAGGCCGGCTGAAAACTCAAAAACTACTTTAAAAATGTTTGCTAAAATAGACAACTTGGAGTCCAAAGAGTTACTGGAGCCAGTCAAAAGTCATTGCAAAAATAGTTTTTATTCAAGTTACATCTTGTAGCAAACCTAAATTTAGTTATGCATTTTAATAAATTTATGAGAATTGATACCCAATTATGGTCTCCGGACCTCTAGGTAGTTTTGAATAATTATACAATTATCACTAGTGATCAGTTAATAATCGCTCAATTATCTTAAATCAGTCAGTCAGTCTCATATCTAAAGGGTCAATTCTCTTGGCAGGAATTAGAAATAGGCAACCCACACAGTTCTTGATTATATTACAGTGAATTTATTCTCTAACTAAGGTGATAAAAAGATGGTTGGATACAGGGAAAATAAAAAATTGCTGAACAATGAGAAACGGAGGTTCGATTGTGGGAAGCATTTTGCGCTCATGCTAAGGCCAAAACTGCCTATTCTCCCCCTTGCACCTGCATTCTTATTTACTTAAAAAGGCACTCATAAGAAAAAATCATTGTCATTGTATACAGAAAAAAAAAATCATATAGTAGCTTAAACTTTAAAATACACAACAGTGCCATGAATCAAGCTTGGTACTCAATTCTCAATTATATTTCAAGAAAAAATAGACTGGATTATTCCTGGTCTTCAGCCCCTGTTGTTGCTGGTCAAACTTAAACTGGTCAAATGAAACTGAAATTAAATAAAAACTTGATTGTGTACATTGTAGAAAATACATAAACCTGTGATGACAGCCTGAGACTGTGCATTTCCCTCCCAGAGCAGCTGGAATTCTGGGAGCTGACTGAGAACGGTGGGAGTCAGTGGAAGGTGGAGGACATGCCGGGTGACAGTGGCTACGACTTCTGCAACGAAGAAGTAACCAAATACTTTGCAACCTCCTTTGAGTGAGTGTCTTTAAATGTCTGTGTATATGTTACTATTTATCTGTTCAACGTAGCTACACTGCATCTAGTGGCTTTCTGTAGACTTTAGCAGTGTTTATAAGCTATCTGCCAAGTACGACCTGCTTTAAAAAGGTACAGTGTATAAGAATTGAACCCACTCTTCAAAATAAAAAATAGGGCACAGCGTATCACAGGTCATATCTGCTGCTAACTGCTGTTAGCTAGTTAGCTTAGTTTGGAACAGTGGAAAGATAACAAGAAAGTTTTGGTGAGTTTATCAGTATTTTGTCCGATGTTAAAGTACTAATGAAACGGCTAGCAGAGGGCTATTGATTCCGTATATCTACGAATTTCCTGTAAAAACAGGAAGCTAGGGATGCCGCCTCCTCCCACAGAAGCCCAGTCTGCTCTAGGGTGCGTTTCCCAAAAGCATCGTTGCTAACTATGGTAGCAACTTCCTTGGTTGGAACTATGCAGTTGCGACGCAACTGTTTCCTGAAACCCTAGTTCAAACTACGGAGGTAACTAAGTTGGTAACTTACATGGTGCGAACTAGGGCTGACCCCGAATAGTCGAAGACTCAATGCTTCAATGGGCAGAGCCTGATTCGACTGTCAATCTCACAGTCGAAGCTTCGCAGCGACACAAGGATCATGCCATTTTGGTGATATGGGGGTGCTCAACGTCTGATCTTACAGAGAACTACCAGTTTTCTCCCAATAAGTTAATATACTGCCTATTAAAATACACATTTCAATGTTTAATGCTGTAAATAAACATGTAAAAAGAATAAAACTTTCAATAAATGTTTTTAAAGTGCGTGAATAAATCCAAAATTGTAACCCTAACCTTGGGTCGTCAGTGCGCATGTGTAAGAGTAGCGTGTATGTGTGCAGTGGCAGAAGAGGAACACTTGCAGAAGAGATAGAGCCCCAGCTTCACGGGTGTTGTGCCGAGTTGTCCGCACCTCGCAGGACTTTCGGATAATTTATCACCGATGATGAACCATCCACTGGTCGCGGGGGTTGATGAACCACATAAAGAATATTTTATCATTTTTAAAAAGCCGGCTACTTGAAACAGACCCGCGAGGAACTGTGACGTGCATGTAGTTGTCGGCAGCACTAACGCACGTAAATGCACAAGAACGACAAGTGAATGACAGGCGAGATAGAGAGAGAGCGCCTCAGTTTAGCTGGTTGAAAAGAGACTGCAGCTCTGCAGCTTCTCAAGATTAAAGCGTAGCTACCATGTGTAACCCCTCCCCTGCCACTCGTAATCGCCGCACACAAAAACACACATGATTCGACTATAGACAGAATTTGACGATTCTGATTCGACTATATAAATCATTAGTTGGGGACAGCCCTAGTACGAACCATCGTTAAGCAACGCAGGTGTTCCCCGAAACCATAGTTCCCGACGAACGTTCGCACTGTTGTTAAGTTGCATAGTTCGAACTACAGCTCCTGACCTGTGGTTGAAGAAGTATCTTAGTGTAGACCATCTCCAAACAGCAGGTGTTTTTTTCACAGATTACCCATCCGTTCACAATAACTTAATTTAATACTAGTCACCAGTACAAAGATTAAAGGACAAAATGGAGAATGTAAAGACAAGTCTTTTAATACCTTCATGTTTACATTTCCAGGCATCTGAGGACCATGGGTGTTCTCTAGTCTTCATTACAAACAAATATAAAACGTGACAGCACATTCACGTGCTCAGCCACTTACTGCACTGAGCTATTCTTAAGATCTTGATACCATTTGCAGCCAAGGGAATCATAATTGTTAAACTGAAGATGCTTATTAAACCTATTTCACTAAATGTCTTGTAATCGCTAAGAGTTCTTAATTTTTTCTTCTAAGTTATAGCCTATATTTAGGCGAAATAAAATGATTAGGTTATATATTATTTATATTGTTGATTTCATTAACACTATTGTTGATTTTCTTGTTATTGCCGGTACGACTATAACACAAAAAGCCTAAATAATAAGTAAGCACAATAATGTCACTTAATATCAGTTCCAACTGACATATTTAGGCAGAATATGACAACGTTTTGTGAGTTTCCTGCTGTGAAAGTCAGACAAACACACCTGGAAACATGTTAGTTCAAACCATGTTGGTTCAAACTAGTTAGTCCAAACCACGGTGGTACCAACGAGGTACGACTGTTTTGGGAAACGTTTCCCGTTTTGGGATACGGTCGTACTTCAGATGTTTGTTGCATCGTACCAACATAGTTCAATGCTACCTTCCGTGATTGTTTGGGAAACGCACCCCTGGTTGGTCAGTTCCCACAGGCCTGAGCAGGTACCGAACATCATTCTGCTTCAGCTCTGCCGCTGTTTTTTAAAACCAATAAAGCTAGCTACTAGCTTTTCTTGGAGGAACCCCGGACAACAGCCTTCCTTTGTTGAGGACGTTTTGCCACCATCATCGCCTACGCCTGTGGATTTTACTGACGGATCAGATAAATTTGATGAAGATGACGATCAATAACCCGTTTGTGGAGTGAGGCCGACCAGATCTGAAACTGGCAGTGCTGCTGGTGAAGGAGAGACCCACGCTCATCTCCGCAAATGGAGCTGATGCAGGTTGGTGGTAGTTCTGAGTGCACAGTTTGGCTTTTGTAGTGTTCATTTGTGTTCACAGTAGCTAGAATAGTAATTTAAAAATTTGAATCCATCATTCACATCCCTGTAAGTGTAGGCCATGAAAGAAAATCCTAATCTAACCCTTAAACAAATGGTTGTTTAAACTATAAATGATCTCAACTATTGCGTTAATTAAATGTGTGACATGTCCATGGCTGGTCGTTCTGTTCTCCAGGTAATGGATGAGTGTGAGGCGGTGGACCAATGCCAGCATGTGTCACACAGCACCCTGACTTTAAAGCTGTCTGCCTCAACCCCTGGGTCCTACAGCTGGAGTATGCCACAATGCTGCAGTATTATGGAGCACGCAGCATCTTAAGGAGAATCCCCAGAGGTGTAAGGGTTTCTTGTTAACAGTATTTTGTGAGATCAAAATGTAATGCAGTGCTAACAGTTAGAATGTGCATTGTGATGTGAGATACATTTTACCATGCTATAGTAATGTGGATAATTTTAATATTTTCTGGCAAAGAATGTCTCTTTTTAAGACAGACGGACTTCACCCAAACAAACGGGGCTCAGAAATGTTAGCTGCTCACATACAGCATGTTGTGCGGTCCACACATGACTTACGTGAATGACTAATCATTCATGCAGCACACCTGGACACACCACCGCTCACTGAACAGATTTCTGCCTCACTGCCACAAACAACTGTCTCCACCTGCTGGCATGTAAAACTGTCTGCTCCCAGCGCTGTTCCAAAGACTTCAATTCCTGTCATCATCACGTATAGACCAGTGAACCGAAATGTGCACATCCCACACAGAAATATTAGTAGGTAGTAGTACTTAAGGATTAGGACAACTGCACCCAAAACAAACTCATTTAAAATGGCTCTCTTCAATGTGAGATCACTTTCAAGTAAGACTTTTATCTTAAATGATTTTATCATTTCTGCAAATCTAGATTTTATGTTTTTAACTGAATCCTGGTTGCAAATGAATGACTATAGCCAGCTAGCTGAACTGTGTCCGCCTCAATATGACTGTTTTAGTCAACCGAGGGTCAGTGGTCGTGGTGGTGGGCTAGTGAGCGTGTATAGGAAATATTTAAAATGTCATCAAGTACGCTGTGATGAATTTAACTCCTTTGAAGTTCTCACTCTTAAAGTTGGAGGGCTGCAACCTATCATATTTGTTATAATTTATCGCCCCCCAAAACTACCTGGAGGATTTTTATCAGAACTTCCTGAATTTTTATCTACTCTGGTTTTAAATTATGACAGAATTTACTTTGTGGCGATTTTAATATTCATGTTGATGACCCCATCAATGTTAATGCAACTGACTTTTTAAATATGGCCACTTCTTTTAACTTCAAACAACATGTCAAAGGGCAAACACATAACCGTGGTCATACACTGGACTTGGTTTTTACCCTGGGTGTCAGCATTTCCTCTGTGGAATTAGTGGACATGACCGTATCTGACCACAGATGTATTGTTTTTAGCTGCGATTCGCCTGTTACTCATGCCGCCTCACCAAGCTCTGTGTGTTCTCGCTTCTTTAATGAACAGTGTTTCAAAGTTTTGCGCATTCTTTCAGAGCCAAAGCCAACACCTGTCTGATTCCAACACCAACAATCTGGTCGATCACTTCAATCATATCTGCTTGTCGTCACTAAATATTGCTGCTCCTCTAAAGGTTAGGCCTACGTCTAAAGCTAGTAAGCAACCCTGGATAAATGACAGCATTCGCAGCCTAAAAAGGGAATGCAGGAAAGCAGAGCGCAGATGGAAAAAATCCAGTCTCCAAGTCCATTACCTCAGTCTGAAGGATTTATTAATTAACTGCAATAACTTGGTTAAGGATGCGAGAACACATTATTTTTCTGAACTCACTCTTACTACACATAAACACAACCCCAGGTTTCTGTTTAAGACTGTGGATCAGCTGGTAAACCCAACCCCTCCTTGTGCCTCAGCTGGAAGTAATGATGACTGTGAATTGTTTTTATCTTATTTTACCAATAAAGTGGTGTCAATCAGAGCCTCTATTACCCCCGTGGCCTCTTACTCAGAGGTTCCTCACCAGCAACAAGAGAGTTTTAACCAGTTTTATCCCATCGACTTTTCTGAGCTTTTAAAAACAGTATCACAAATGAGAGTGTCCTCCAGCCCACTTGATGTAATACCTACAAAGTTTTTACTGAAAGTAATAGATTCTGTTGGGCCCCATTTGATCTGTTTTCAACAGCTCCCTATCTACTGGTTGTGTCCCTGATTATTTGAAAACGGCTTGCGTGAACCCACTTTTAAAGAAACCTGGTTTAGATCCCTCCCTCCCACATAATTTTAGACCAATTTCAAAACTGCCTTTTATTGCAAAGATTC